TGTATACCATATTAATTGCGCGCATGAATAACGGTTAATTTTGTGTTTTTTTTTTCATCGCGTTTTTTCGCATTTCTCTCTTTCACACACATTACATTTCCCCTTGCGCCGATTCGTTCGCTTTTTATTGAGGTCAGGCAGTGAAAATAAATCGACAAATGACGACAAGAGAACGAAATTTCGTGTATATACAAAAGAAAAGTGGAAAGAGAGAGACAGAAAATTGTTTTGAGAGAGTATAGGAATGTGCGCAAAGCAGTTAGAGAAAAGAGATGTGATTCATCGATGGGAATTTCGATGTTGAAATAAACACATAAAGTATGTGTGAGATTTTGATGTGAAACACTTAAGAATAAACTTGAAAAAAAAACATAGCTCTGTTCACTGCAAAATCCATCCGAAAAAAAGTGATAAAAATTGAGATTGTATTCAACCAATTACTTGCAAATTCGATGACAAGACATACATAACTCCTTGACCTTTTCGTTCGATCGCAAGATTCAATGTAGTGCTCTTCTATCTATCTCTCTCTCTCTCCCTCTCGATAACTTATCCAAAATGAATAATTTGCAATGTCTTTGATCAAATGGAAACATTAAACTCACTAAATTACCAAAAATCTGCCGAAACAAATGCCACACTGTGATTTAATTGAATTATTCGAATAAATTGTATGCAAAATATGATGAAAAATCACAATTTATTATAAATAACTGATAATATTAATCGCATGCTGCGTAGTGAGTCGAGTATAAAAAGGCACATAATTCGACCATCCATAGAATTAATTAATAATTAATATTAATTTATGCACTTTCACATTGCGGTAAAGCGCTCTGAAATCCATAAATATGCACTTTTCCATACAATATCGGTATCAAAAATTACCTTGAACTTTGTCAATGGTTTCAATGTTTTGCACACACATAGCTATCGACTTTGACCTAAATCATCCCATTGGCTTGTTCTCGTTTCTCGGCCAAACTGAAAGCGTTCTAGTGTAATTGTTATAGAAATATGGATAAAATTGTACACACTTTATATCGTTGGATGTTTTATGTTCAGTATTTGCTGTAGCCTTTTTACGTATGGTTACATGGCATTTGCTTATGTTCCCATTTCAACAGAGCACTTCATCGCATTGATATTTGGAACAGCCGGTGTCTGTGCAAAAATGGAAAAAGTGTTCCATTTCGACTAACTCTTCAGAGAGCAGAAGAGAAAAAAAATAACATGGATGCAGAGGGACAAAGAGTGCAAAAGAAGAAATAACATTCACAGAATCGCATTTGATGATGACAAAGATAAAGGTCAAAACTGTTCACTTCAAATGGTAAGTAGAGCGAATTTCGCTAAACCTGTACTTACGCCGCTTTTTTCTTCGATGTGTAAAATTGTATACTTTTGATTATATTTCTCATTTTTTATCCAACTGAATTTTGCAAATTGAATGAAAATGTTATTTCTCGTTTTATGTAAGTTTACTGCATGAATGGCAAGTTTTCATTCGATTTTTTTTGTGTGTCAGCATAAATTCGAAATGTATGTAATAGAGGAAAAGCACAAAAATGATTACATTTTTCTTTTGTTTTAATTTACTGGCCAATATTCATCGCGCACACAAACACACAGAAACACACACTGGTGCTGGTGTTTTAGCTAATTTGTCTGCTATAAATAAAGCAGTATTATGACAATGATGATATGGTGATGGTGATGGTGATGAAAATGAGGTCGCCATACCGAATCATACATACTCCGTAAATACGAAGAGATAACTCGTGAGTATATAGTGATTCAAAGTCGATATGTCTTTGTTTCGCGTTAAAAAGAAAGTTAAAATAGATAGTGTGATGGTGGGAGCGAGAGTAGTACACTGGATTAAATGAAGAGAAAAGAAGAAGACAAAAAGAAAAGAATCAGCGACGAGAAGAATGAGAGGGAAGGAGAAAACGCAGAAAACAAGTATACACATTATTGGGCCGCTTTTCAAATTCGAAAATAAGTGAACGTGAACGAACACACGCTCTTACTGCTGCTATGCATGCGTGTGAGTGTGACCGATGTTCAGCGTTGGCTTGTTATTTTGTAGCTGCTGCTCTTGCTAATTTCATGCATTACTACATATTACTTTTTTTCATTATAACTGTACTTTTTCTTTCCCTCTTCCTCTCTCGTTCTTGCTTGCGCTCTCGCTCTTTTTCAAATGTGTAACCAAATTATACACTGTGTACAGTTCATATGCGAGCGATTTGTTTAGTTGTGTGCTTTCCACTTTTTGGATGATTTTAATTTGGTGTTTCTTTTCAGTGTTTCTTCTATTTTCTCTTTGACATTACGAGAATGGGCACAAGACCCCAAAGAGCTGACAAATTAAACGTCACCGTCAAGAATAATTGTAGAATAAAGCCGGCTTATTTTCTGCGACCAACGTAGTGGTTATGGCAATCAAAAACTGTTTTCGATTTTTTTCCCTTCATTTCACTTCAATTTCTTTGAAAAATTCATTTTTAGTTTAATTCTGCTTGTTTGGCCAATTTTTCCATTACAATACATAAAGTCAATTCTGCACACTTTTTGTACAGTGCGCATTTTTCTTCTTAACGATAAACATTTATTTGGCGGTGGGTCCGACTTTTTGTTTTCGGCTTTCTACGACGTCATTTATTTAAAATTATCTGTCGTTTTTTATAGCTATTTAATTTCATCATTTTAATGAAAATAACCATAATATCAAGTTTGTTCATTGATTGTACCTGAGTACAAGTATGTTTTGATTTTCTTGAGTTTCGTATTGAAAAAAAAAATGAAAACTGATTTTTTATGCTGCAATACAATCGAATTTACATTTTTCCTTTGCAAAGAGATAAAAGAGAAACTGTGTGTTCGTCAAGCGATTCAAACATAGTTTTTTTTTTCTTCTTGAACAATTTTCGCATTGATTCCGATTGATTTGTTGTTCATATTAGTACTTTCTTTGTATTAATTTTCTTGGACGTGTTGAGCGTCATTAAATTGAAAACTTTTCGCATGGAATACTGCGAAATCTGAAGGGGAAAAAACATTTTAACAAATTATAATTCTTATTAATTCGGTACTTATGGGAAATTTCACCTTTTGAACATTAAGTTCCACGTATTTGCACTACCGTATTTTTTTTCTTTAATCGCATGTTTGTTCGGCGAGCCGCAAGAATTTTTGAAGTGCTGTCATCATTTCAAAAACATAGATACGAATAGATGGTTACGTCATACGAAAAATTCTTCCTTATTAAAATGAACTTGAATTTTGTGCAATAAATAAGCAAACTTCAAATCGAGTGGTTGATCAAATTGTACTATAAATTTCAATGTCAGAATTAAATTGCAAAAAAAAAGTTCAATTAACTGTCATAGTAAGCATTATAACGATTTGGTTCAAAGACCGTGTTTTGCCTGAATGATTCATGAAATTTTGTGAATCACAAATTTTATATTTTTTCACTAAAATTTAGCAAATGTAAACATGCATGCTCAGACAGGGTACCGAGGGGTCAGATTACAATGCCCGCGCTACAGAAATCAAATAACTCCGCGTCAAATTTTGAAAAAATGTGAGTGAGATGTTCTTTTTTCTTTCGATTTTCCAGGGTTTTTGATTGAAATAAGCCCCCCCTCCTCCATAATAAATTTTCATTCGCGTGGAATTTTTGCTTGAGGTTTTCGACGAGAAAATTTGTTTCGATTTGCTAGGGTTTTTGATGGACCTACACTCCCCCCTTAGTTTCCAAGTCCAAACCAATCCAAGCATCTATGTTCGTGAATGCTTCGTTTTTACGATAATTTGATTTTAAATTCATAATGACCAAGAATCACTCAGTCAAGTTGTGAACGCATAGAGTGTGTGTATGTTTTCTTTTATTCATTCGAACATAGAAACATTTTGCCGAGTGAAGCCTTCTAAATTAAGTGATGTTTGTGTGATGTTCAAATCGCATGTTACGTCGATTCTCGGCAACCGATATTTTTTGACCTGCGGCTTATATTACGTCGAACAAAATGCATTGGCAGTGTGTTTAGATACATTCGCCCCACTAACAAAACACAAGAGAATGCCCGAAAAAAAGGAAAACGAGAAAAAAAGGAGACGAACACGCATATAAATATAGGCAAAAGCGAAAATCGTATAAATAAAAGCATACATGCACGAAAACTTAAGCAAACGTTTTTTTTTTGTAAGGAATAAAAGATATTGGGACACATTTGTCTTCCAAAGTGGCTGCTGCACAAATACATAAACAGTGAAACAAACCGTTTGAACGTCACAGTGTGTTCGCTGATCAACACCAAAACGATGTTCAAATGGAAAAAACATTCGGCACGGGAGGCAGTTCAGAAGAGAAAACGAAAATGAAAGAAAGAAAAAGAAAAGAAACTGAAAAAGGCCATTGAATTTGAGCACACTGTTGCACATTTACTTTTCAAGAATATTCAGGAGAGAGCATCGAATGAATTCAAAACCATTCAAAGATCATGGTGTGATGACGGTCAATGTGTTTTTTTTTCTGTCTTCATATGTAGTCTAGAAAATTCGGCACATTTGAGAATGCACTTTTTGTTTTACTTAAATACCAAAAAAAAAAAAAAAAATCAGGCTACTGACACTTTGTTTATGTGTTTTTCATTGATTCGCTATTGGCCACGTCTCCTTCATTTTTAAATCGATCTATACAGCGAATCAGTTGATCAGTGATGATGCGCAACAGAAAAACGGAAATTGAGTTTCATTGAAGATAATTAGAGCTAAATCATTTGAATGGGCAATTATGGAATTGGCCGCAAAAAAAGAAAATTATACTTTGGTAATATTGCGAGTTGCGCATAATGAAGCATCGCTTTCTATTTCAAACGATTGCTGCTAAAGCAATTAATTTCCAATATGAAATCCTTCAAAATATATGCGCTCAAACAGTATAGAGTAGAAAAAGAAGTGAAGAAGAAATACATGAAAATGATGCTCACCTTATCGATTTCCGCCATTTGTGCGATTTTATCCAATTCGTTCTATTCCATAATCAATTTAATGCGAAATGTGGGCATACGATGTCGATGACATATCTTGTTGTTATTTTGTTTTATTTTATGTATTCGCTTTGTTTAATATTGGTCAACTTCTTCTTTCTTTTTGGTCACACCATAAATATATTATGCGACACTTTTCCTTTTTTTATCTCTATAAATTGATCCGTTAAATAACCATAATGTAGATCGTCGAACACACTTGAATTTCCTCTCTCTCCGTTCATTCAGTATAATTGTTACACATTAGTTGCACTGTACATGAATATGTATCCATCTCGCTGTGTTATAAATTGCACTAATTACACAATAAAGACTACGATCACATCAAATCTCACAACATGTGCACAATTCTACAACAATAATTTTTTTTCTATTTCAATTTCTTTTATCAGTAATCAGTCTTGAGTACAACAGTTGTTTGCAGTATATTGACTGCATTGATTTCTTCTCACGACACTGGTTGTAATAAATATATATATGGTGTGCTAATTGTCTCTTTTTTTGTGGGCTAATGTCCTTCTAATTGTTCGTTTGTTTGATTTTTTTTAACTTAACAAGAATTTCATGCACACATTGACTCAATGTTGGTGTATATTTCGATTCATATGTGCACGCAAACAACAAAAACGATTACAACTATAGGATTTAAATGGAAATAAATAAACGTTCAATGATGTGCTCTAAACTGACTCTTTAAACATGTATTCCGTATCATTTATTACAAATAAAAACTAGTTTTGTTGTTGCTACTGCTTTTGTTTCGTCTTACACTTTCTAGCAATTCTCTTGAGCGAAATATCAATTGAATGTGGATTGTGAATATTGGACTGGTCCATTTGATCTGTGTTTGTCACGCAAAATGTTTATGGTTGCTTCTTTGTGTGTGTGTGTCTTATTTTGCTAGTTTAGTTCGGGTAATCTTGAGAAAAGTTCACGTTCGACATTAGCTTCCTGTTACACATTGGTTAAAAAGCATTCATGCAATAAACAGTCGTCTGGATTGGCATGTAATTGGTCCGTTCCTTTTTAGTGTCCAATGTTTTCTTTCTCCATTCAATTTCATGTGCAAAATGGATAAACGCGCTGTGCGTGTGTTTGGGTGTGTGTGTGTGCTTCGACGGTTTTTGTCTATTCAATTTAACATGCATAGCAAACGGTTTACTATCATTCTCTGCGTCATTTCTGACATTTTATACAGCCCGATACTAGTAGCAACTGCAATGTGTGTATTGTGCTGCTGTTCATATTCTACTTTATTCTCAATTTTTCTTTCCTCTATCCCTTTCTCACTCTTTCTCTGCCAAATAAACTCAGCTTTCGATTGTTATTTTTGCAGCGAGACGTAAATCAGATCAGGTTCGCTGTTGATTATTTTTTTTTTGTGTTGATGTTGTATTATTCGCTGATATTGTTGGTTCGATGTCTAAACACAAAATGTGAATATAGAGCATCGACAGCATTTTTGATAATGTGTTTCGCATGCACCATACATACACACATACGTGCACTATACTCTTACACCACTGTGCTGCTGTTTGTCGATGCGATCCGGTGCTTGTGACTATATACTTTTTGTGTTCGTGTTTTATTCACTATCGAACATTTACTACAATTAGATGATGCCGATACAAATAGCGTTATGCAGTCGATGACCTATCGTATAAATTGATGATCGTAAAACATTCACAGGCACGAATATTTATTCTTCTTTTCCAGTCGTCGTTTTTCCACACTTTTTTCCGACGCTTTTTGCCGTTTAACAATTATTATTATTATTTTTTGCGTTGATTTTTTCCAAAAGATAATTTCACGATAACATTTCAATTCATTTGTGGTGATTTAATTTTGATGAAGTGCCTGTTTGAAAGAAAATAAAGAATCCAAATTATTAACATTGTTTGCATTCGGAACAAAATTTATTTCATGATGATGTAAGGAAATTTGTTTTTTTTTTGGGTTTGTTGTGAATGGCTTGGGTCAGTGATTTTAATTTACAGAAATATTAAATATAATCAATTTTCCTTGCGAAATATGCGCTCAATATGGCCGAACAGAAAAGCGAACAAAGCGAACCACGAAGCCCGCAAAATAATGTTGCAAGAAATACTGATATTAATTTATTTAGAACAAAAAAGGTTATTGAGTGTTAAAATATGTATTCATATCGATGGTTTCAATAGGTCAACATTCATTATGTAACACTTTAGTTCCAATTACATGATAAGTTTATATCAATTATAATTACGAAGTCATACATATGTTTTGTACACTTTGATCTACAAATAAATGACGAAATTATAATTTGATTCTTGCATTGGACACCAATTGGTGAAATGAGCTGTTCGATGTAGAAAATCTTTTTGAAACAAATGAAACTGAATTCAAGTCATTCAAGTCAGAAACTGAAGCATAAAACAAGTGCAAAGAAGCTGGAATGCACCTCATATCTCTTTATTGAATGATTCTTTTATGAATCAAACGGAATTATTTTCGTTTGTCCATCAAACAGATAAAAGTGTATCGATAACATCTAATATTTATATTTGCATTGTTTGCGTACGTTTTTTTTTTTAATTTTATTTGTTGATGCAATTTTTTGGCGAATTGATGTAATACCACCAAATGAATACAAAACAAAACCAAAATGGGACGTGTGCATGAACACAGTATGTGCAACACGTGTATAAATAAAATAAAGGAAAAAAAATGAGCCAGCCAAATACAATGTGTTAGCATTGCGCAATAAATGAGAACTAGAATGGTCATAGTAACGCGCGTTTCACATTTGGCCGGATCGATTCAATGGAAATGATTTGCGTGTCACAAGCAGAAGTGCGCTCGCGCGCTCACAACACACACGCACAAACATTGATTGTGTGGTCTGACATTCGCTTTCAGTAATTATTATTATTATTTTATGAATGGCAATTTCGGCGTATTTTCAAAATTTCACAGTGTCTGGAAAATGGAATCAATTAAACTCATTTTAATGAATGATGTAAATATGTTTGTGGTAACACATTATGCCAATGATAAAATGTCATAGTCATTTAACAAAAGACGCTTGAATCCCATTTAAAATTTGTTGGTGTGTTTGGTTGTTCGCTAGCATTTATTGTTTGGTTATATGTTGTTGTTGTTGTTGTTGTTTTTTCACCAAAAAGAAAAAACAATTACTTTCAATCCGCAGTTGAAGGTGCGATACTGAAAGAGCAAAAGAGAGAAAAAAACAGAACGAGGCATGAATCGCCAAATAACACAAGCATCAACCAAAATACCGTTATTCAAAAGAGAAATTTCCATCGAACGCTTCATGAGAAAAACAATGTAAAAAAAAAATAACAACAATCGCTAAAAAAGTAACCATCAGAAACGGCAAACAAACGAAAGAAGAAAAAAAATATATAAAAATAAGCACCAGCAACTCTTTACTAGACAATTACAAAGTGGAATTCGTATTGTGGCACAGAAAAGCAAACGGTAAGAAGTAATTTACCGCTAAAATGAGTGAAAAGGAGAACAATATGTTCTTACATCGGTCTGATATATACGCACCAGCAGCCTATGAGAGTATCAGCGTGTCAGTGGCTTTTACCAATATTAACGCCAATGAGCTAGAAGCGAGAAAAAGAGATGACTACATTCACGATACGAAACAAGCAGAAAGTGTGCTTTTTTCGATGAAATAAACTGGTATTTTGAGCCATTGCAAGGATGAATGAAGATGAAAAAGAAAAATTGCAAGAAGAAGAAGTGAAGAGTAAAAAAAATACCAAACAGATTTCGTAGGCAGCAGCAGCTACGAAAGCACTCACAAACAATCAAAACCAGAGAGTTCATACGCAGAAGTGCAGCAACTGATTCTGCATCCAACTTATATATATTTTTGTTGTTGTTGTTGTTTCGATTTAGCATTAAAGTATAGAAAAAGGTTGAATTCAAATACAATCACAACGTTTACGGTTATTTAATCTGAAACGACAAATGCACTTTATAGCATGAAGCTGAAGTGGCCAACACATTTTTCGTTCCCATTTTTCATGAATCAGTGTTTTTTTTCTTCTTCTCTTCAATTTTACACAAAATTGAAAACACACACTAGTTTTGGTACATTTCGCATGTATTTGGCACTATTCTTTTATTAATCATTATTGGTTTTATTGTGCCGCCAGTTTTGGAGTGTGAGATGCCGTATTTTATTTATTTAAAACGAAAATGAAAAATCAGATTTGTACACATCCAACGAATCAAAGCTCATCAAATTAATATCGCATCGCGTCTTTATTGTTTTATTTTCATCGTTTGCCAAAACACGCAAAAGAACGCGAGCAAAGTAAACAAAAACAAACAACATCAAACATATTCAAATCGGCTGGCATGTGTAATCGTTGTAAGCTAATGTATAATGGGGCATTTTATTTATTATTCCAACACATTATATTCGATCGCATTGCATTTTTTTTCTTCTTTTCTTTCAAAAAGCTGCATAGAGTTCGTGTTTGGCTCTATGCAATATCAACTATACATACGCCGAATAAATTATCTACAACAATAATAACATTTATCCATAATTCAATGTGAGAACATTGAAAAAGAAAGTTGCAACCATACAAATATACGAATCGACAGAGGCTCACGTACGCATACCACCTAACAACGAGAAAAAAAAAAACCACACAAACGCGCTCGAATAATTCGTTTAATGCCAAAAGCAAGCGAGAGAGAGAATGAAGCTGGCATGCAGGCAGGCGGACAGGCGGACTGAATGCAAATGTACGGGTGAGTTTTTCGTATGTATGTGACGTGTGCCTATGTGTGTGTGTATGTAATGTGCTTATATGTGTACAACACATTGATAATATGTAAATGTTGACAGTTGCCGTGTTATTGTGTGTTGTAATGCATTCCCTGTTCATTCTCGTGATAATAACAATAAATTGTTTTCGCTTTGCGATTTAACTTCGTGCCGCTGATATTGTGTGTACGTTGTTTCGCTTAGTTTTTATTCACATGTTTTGTTGTTTCGTTTGTCGTTATTTTTTTTCTCTTCTCGTTTCGCTCTTCTCAACACACAATTTAACTATCCCTCGTGCCGATATTCTTGGCACTTTTCTGTGTAATTTCCCGAAATATTCTCAGTGACACTGGCCCTGTATGCTTATGTGCTCGATACATTTGAATCTTCGTCTCTATTTGAATCTCAAATGCTTCGTCTCTAATATCTCATTGTGACGGTTTTGGTTTACTCCAGTGAGAGAGCGCGTACGACTTGCTACCGGGAGTAAAATATATGCTTACATGTATAATATGAATTGTGGATGATGTGAATCAACAGCAAAAATTGCACCACACCAGTGCGTATCTGTTGCGGTTATCTAATGTAAAATTCATCACGGTTAAAGCGTTAATTTATTCAAATTTATTGCACAATTACTTTTTTTTCTCTTTTTTATTTTTGTTTGTGACATGCATGTGACACAACAACCCTCTATTTTTATTCATCGCATTCTTATCAATATTGTTTTTGAATTATTTCTATTTCGTTTATATATCCTACATATTGACTCTTCATTTCTATTTGTTTATCAATTTTGGCGTGTATTTCTTTGTGCCGGGTGTGTGTGTGTGTGTTTTGTTTTTCATTCGATTCGGTTTTATATTCATTTCACTTGTTAAATATGTTGTAATTGAATTTGAATTTCATTGTGTTTGTTTATGCAGAACAAGAAAATGTAAATACAAAGAATAAGATGCTCTGAATAAGTGCATTTCAGTGTTTATAGCACTCTTTCAACTTAATAGCTTTGTGTTTGCTGTGTTTCGTTTCGGAAATTGTCAATGAGCATGGATTTTATTTGAGCATTTCGTTTGGAATGAGAGAGCGATGAGAGTGTGTAGCAACAGTGTTTTTATTGTCCTCTGATAATACGGGGTGCTTTTTTGATTGATGAGTCGTGTATACCCGTCCACCCATCACAAATAAAAGAAAAAAAAACACAACAGTGCCAAATGTATACATATGCGCGCAGACTTCAATATTCAGACATTATCTCTATATTATAGCTTAACAAGCATCATGTACATAGAGGATTTTTGTTGCCGCAATGTTCCAAGTCATTTGGCAATTGGGCGAAACAGCTACTGTGAAGCTTGGATGAAATGCGTGCCGTCATAAGTTTCCAAGTGGTCTCGTTTCTATCGCTTCCCCGCATTCATCCACCGACAACGATGTACCATATTAATACTATATATTTATATGTATGTGTGTGTGTTTTGTATGAGTTTGCCGTTTCAATGAAAATACGCTATGCTATATTTGCCGAATACCAGTTTTCGTATCGAATTTATCGTTGAAAATGTAACTTTGGTAACGATTTGGTGGGAGAAAGGAAGCAAGAGAAAGAGAAAGAAGAGACGAAGAATATGCCTCTATCAGCATAATTTCGAATTAGTTTTTTGTTTAATATTCTCTCTTTTTTTGTCGTGCACATTTTCGACGATTTTACATTAAAGGATAAACTTTTGCAGTTAATTTAATTGAAACTTGCAGCTTGTGCTGCTTGAGGAATGACCATTTGAGAAACACTTTTGTTGAATACATTTCATTTCCATACATACGATAATCGAATAAATTATGTTCGACAACGCACGAAGCAACATGAAAATTTTGAGCATTTTTAGCACGACAAAAACACACACACACACGCTGGTACTTATTATGTGAGCGTGTGTTATTCAATGTGCTCTTTTGTGTGTCTATTTACGCGATTGTGCAAAAAAAAAAAGAGCGAACGCGTGAAAATGAAACGAATTGAAAAGAAACCCCCAAACTTAAAAATACAGGAACCATATGTCTTGTATGTATATACATTCGTGTATTTGATGGCAACGCCAATTCGTTGTGAGAATAGACGAGAGAGAGAAAAAAATGGATTTTAAATGGTATTAAATAAAGAAAACACAACCACAACGCACGCCATAAATGCGACACGGTCAACTGATGAATTATAGTTGCTAGATATTTTGTTGGATTTATTTTTACTTTCTATGCACTGAAAACAGTTGTTTGTGCTATATTCTATTCGATATTCGCTCTGTTATACAACTTACACATGATCATGTATATATGTTTCGACCAGAATCTCGAATACATTGGCCTACGGAAAACACGTATATGAAATGTTATGGTTGTTTTCAGTTATAGGTTATGGATATTTAATACAAGACGTATGTTGATAATATTTAAATTTCATTTATGGCAAATTGTTAGAACATTAGGGAAAAAAGCCAACGAATTACCGTGACGTCGTTAAATTTGTACTCCCATAACTTATAACATGCAAGCAAAAATTTATGCGAAACTAGTACGTAGAACGAGTTAAAAAAAATTGTGCGTCGTCTGTGTTAACATTATTTCCACGTATTTGATATGGTTAATGATGTACCGCAAGTTTTACGATGTATTTGTCAACAATATTCAATCCAATTACTTGAAATGAATGGAACAAAAAAAAGCACCGCCGAAGAGTTCAAGTGGATTGTGCATAAACTTTTTTGTGTGTGTTTTTTTTGAAGAAGAGAGAGAAAGAGAGAGAAGGAGTGATAAAGAGGGTTTTGTGATGAGAACATCAACAGCAATGTGAACTCACTTTAAGTGTCATTCACCTGTTGTCGATGTCTAGGTTTGATCACGGGAATTTTGTAAATAGCCTAATGAATGTATGTTTGTTCGTAGTTCGTACAGTGGATGTGACGACAAGATTTGATAGATAAATTATTTCGAGATGTTTTTCTTTTTGAAAAAAAAAAAAAAAAAAAAAAAACGTCAAGTGGGCTAAATACTTGTGCTTAAAACATGGTTTCAATTAATTGTAACCCAACACATGAGATTCAATTATATTATTTTGATATATTTTGAGTATCGTTTTCTATTCAAAATGAAAACAAAACAAGAAATAAAACATGAAACAATAGCAAATTTCATTATTAATCATTTAAAATAGACTGTGCGCCACATGTGCAGTAAGAAACATTATTTCATAGAACAAATTATCGAAGAATATTTTATGTCTCAATTAGCATTCGATCGAATTAGAAATAAAAATGATCAAAGGATAGGGAAATAAAATGCTAACAACAATCAACTAATGAATAGAAAAACGATATAATTTCTGTCTGCATGAGCGAAAAACTCCCTCCAGTTAGAGAGCGATGTATTCACACAGAGAACGCACAGAGGAAAAATGCACAACTACAACCAACATGCCACGCACACATCATTTATGGTTCGCCAAAAGACGACGAAGAGAATTAGAGCGACAGAGTGCAAGATAGAGCGATGTAGCACGAAATTGATGAGATAGAGAATGTTTGATGAGAAACGGAGAGAGAGCGAGCGAGATAGAGAAGAAAAAGATGATGAAAAGCAATATAAAGAAACACGATTTTCGGATGTGTATTGTGTGTATATGTGCTAGTATCTATGTATACTTTGAACTGCTTTGAGCGCTTGTCTAGTAATCTATGGCAAGAAATGCTACGACTGCACCAAACATAATAACGTCAAAAACAGAAAAAGATTGAAGGAAGACAAAAAAAAATATACACACACACCACGCCGCACCGACTCAATTTTTATGAGATTCATCTAAGAAAAATGGAGCTTGGCCCAAACGATTTTGACGATTCGTTCACATTTATTCCATTGCAATTTAAATCAAGTCAACATTACATATTAAATTTTTTCGTTAATACATTTTTGTAATAGTTCATTCAAGTAAAATAATGAATCGAATCGCGGCAATATAATGAAACGTGAATCAGTACGAGTCATCTTGTCTCCGTCGACTATCGACTCTTCCGGCTCAATTTGCGCGAGCTTCTTTGTCTCGCGCTCCAATTGTCACTTGCTCTCTATGTCTCTTTTATTGAAAAATATCTTTCCAAAAAAAACTAACAAATGTTTTATAATTGAAAGTGGTTGAAATTTAGTTTATTATGTGATGGCGTAATAAATTTGTAGTAAAAGAGAACTCTTTTTTTTAAATAGTAAAAATGCACAAGGAGCAACGCAGTTTGTTATTTGTTTTTTTTCTCTTTTTCTCTCACACACAAACTCTTTCACTCTTTTTCGCGTATGCATTCTAGTTTCGTGTGTTTAAAATTGTGAGAGAGACAAGAAAGCCTTGACTCCACTCGATCGCATCATATATTTATTGCTGTATTGCGACTATATTGAAATATAATATTGGCATGAACTCAAGTAAACAGGCCGCCTAATATTATTTATAGGTTCTCATGTGGAAATTTTAATATGATATCGGTGAAGAGATTTTTTTTACAGAGAATCAAAATTGTCACCGACAAACAAACACGAAAACATCCTTCACGTGCGCCAATGTGACAATTTTCCACTTGAACTTTTAATTCCGCACCGCGTTGCATACACAAAATTTTATTCAACTTTGAATGAAGAAACAATCCAACAATCACAAATAATATTTATTATTGCACATAAATTAAACGAAAAGAAATAAAAAAAAAAGGTCGCACACTGTTCGCGTAATACATTGTTAGAGTGAATAGATAAGGATAGAAGAGTGAAAAAAAGATGATGCGAGAATCGAATGGGTATTTTCTCAAAATAACGCGAGAATGTCATTAAAATGGCCATTCATTAAACGTCAATGTATGCTTGATGATACACATATGTGGAATGGCATTTATTTGTTGCTCATTTTAATTTGTTACGTTTGTCCTTATTCGTATATATGTTCGGTTGCACTGTTTTGCCATTCAAGTAAGATCGGCCATTCAAATATATTTTTTTTATTTGTGAACGATCAATTTATTCGTATACTTTCGTTCACTGGTTGATACATCATATTATTTTTATATATTTGTTTTTATTTTTTTTTTTTTTTTCATTCGTTTTGTCTGTAGCTCTTTTTGTTGCTGAGGTTGAGGATTTTTTTTTTGTTGTTGTTGTTGTTACTTTGTTATAATACGAACGAGAAATGACTTGGATGCAAAGTAATGATTTCGCGCGCGCAGACAAAAAGACATAAACACGGTTCTCAAAGTGCAATAACATTTTTTTTATATATATTTTTATACTTCGTTTTCGTTTCGTCTATTTGGGCACGTTCGCGTTCATTTCTCAATTTATGTTTGTTGATCATCACAAGTACAAATCGACAGTAGAACGAAGTAAAGAGAAAAAAAAAATGTTGCAATGGTTTATGTGCACGGATGAATGTGTGTGTGCATTTTCTCTCTCTCTCTCTTGAGATATTTCGCTTTGGCATTCGGCTTTCAAAAATCCCAATAATTAGTTTGTTTCGTGCGATTTACATTTTGCGATTTCCTTATGCGAACCTCAATCATTCACTGGCGATACATTTCGAACACATCGCATATTTGTCTATGGGTAAATTATTCTTATATATGTCTCATGTCACTCGAACGAACAATTCACTTTATTGTAAATTGATGTATGCGATATCGATATGGCAGTACTCACCCGCAGATCTTGTATAAATCTCTTTTTTATTATTATTATTATTCGATCGTTCGTTCGTTTTTTGTTGTTATAAATAAGAACAATAAAAAATTGTGTGTTATTTAATCCAATCAAGTATATTTGTTTTTCCACAGTGAAAATTTGCTGTGTCGGTTCAAACTTGTTTATGTTTATCGACGAATTTTATACCGATAGAGTTTGTTGTGTTGCCTTGATTTTTCCACTGTTTTTATTGCAATTCTTCTGCATTTTTTTCTACTCTTCATTTATTATATCTTGATTCATGAAAATGGGAAGAATGTGTATTTGATATACACATATATTTCGCACATTCCAATGCGAGCACGGAAAAGTGAGTGCATTTCACTTATTTGTTAAAAAAAAACAACGAAAATAAACAGCAGTGAAACATAAAATTGCCAAAACGTAAAATATTTGCACTGTGGTAAATTCAAATGCATATCATTTCATTATTGTTTGTTTCGTTTTCGAACAATTTTCGCTCATTCTCTATCACCTAATTCCTAATGGAATCCAATTGAACAACCAAAATAGAATCGAAACATAGAGAGAAAAGAGAAACAACAACAAAAACCATACACATTTATGCACCAAAATTCAAATGAATTCACACACACGCACACGCACAATTCACTGATAACCAACGTAAAATTCAAAGTAAAAATGTCACACACAATTTGAAGAGATAAATTGACAACGACATAGCAGGCCCCTTACAATTCAAACACCTGATTCGCTTGTTTTGTACGGATGAAAGCGGTTAAAATGATTTGATGAACACACACATAAAAGACTCACCGAAACACAAATCACCAACTATGTACAATCGAATACGACCGATTCGAATATACAGTTCACTGTTCGAAGATTCTTTTTTTCTTTCTTCTTTCTCGTGGTTAATCAAACGATTGCAAAATAAACACTGTCATTATATTTGAGCGGTCGCTTGGTTTCATGTATGCGGTCTATTTTAAAAGTCAATTCACTGATGTCCTTTCAATGAGTCAATCGGAATCGTAGTTTCGTATTTTAAATAAAACTAAACCAAACAAAAAGTAAAAATATCTATATTACGGTTCAGTTGATGTTGTTGTTGCACGTTTTTTTAATTTTTTTTTTATTCTGTTGTCTTTTTCGGTCGTATCCAAATTCTTGTGATTTTCAATTTGTTGCTCTTGCTTTTCAATTGTTTTATTTTTATTAGTTTCACTCGGTGTATTTCGTTCTTTCAATATTTCTTTCTTTTTTATTTATGTATCGAGAAGTCTACTCTTACGCGGATTATGTGTATCTTACAATGTTACATCTACTTTTCTTATGAACAGCTAGAGATAGTATAATATGAAAATGGTTTATATTTAAAATAATAATAAAAAAAAGATGTTTTGTTAAACGCGCGCATGTATAAAATACAAAATACGTCTAACCTCGTCAACGACTTTAACTCAACTGAATGAAAACAAAAACGTAAAAAAACGAACACCATACGAAATGCGGCCGAATAACTGTTGTGAATTGACAGTTTCGATACACATGCACATAGCACACACACAGTGTTCCGCTCACACAAAGCTATATAACTTCACGTATACATGTTACGTACACTCACCACACATACATTCATCACACATACAATGTTGGCTGTTCGGCTCAAGTGTATGAGAGAAGACACACAGTGTTGACAACCGGCGTGAGGGAGGGGGAAATTGTGTTCGATTGCACAAACGATGTATGTTGAATACATGCATTTGTATCGTGCTAGTTGTGTGTTTTTTTTTTTATTGTTGTTGTTTCTTTAGTTGATTCCTTCATCAATTGAACGAGCTGTTTAGAAATACCACGAAATGTGCGCTGTACTCTCGAATATTAGCTTACATTTATATTGCCGGATCTTGAATCTCTCACTATCTCTAGCTCACTCACTCTTTCTGTCTCTATCCACACGATTGTGTTGGTATGAATGCGAAATAAAAGATCATCTCTATCTCGTTGTATCATAATGCTTTCCTGAAATTCTTTTAAAATCAAAGTGTGGGTTTCAATTTACACTTTACAGGATCGATAAAAACATTCAACTTTTCTATTTGACATTTATTCCAACGAATCGCATTGCATGAGTTACATTTTCGTGATCTTTTCACGATCAACAGTTGATTCAACACTGATTGATTGATCGTATACCGCCGCTGGTGAGTTCATTCGAAACAATTCACATAATATATGTTCAATTGTTTCGAAGCACCAGTACAATTTCTTACTTGATGGTGATGGTGATGGTGTTACAAATTTGGAAAAAAAATTCAATAATTAATGGCCAAATCGAAGTGGGCAATGCATTTAAATGTCACGAATTGATTGTACAGCAGCGTTTTGTCAATTCACACGATTCAAAGATTTCCGTCAGTTTTGATATCTTTTTCAATTAAATGAAACTGTTTGCTTCCTTTCATTGCACTCGCTCATAAACGGTATGAGTATGAGTGTACAGGTCCCACTCTGAATACATAAACAAATAATCCATCGACAATTGCTCATAATAATAGTAACAGTAATAGCAATGGCAAAACTATGCAGTTTTTTTATCTTCTTCTTCTTCTTCGGTTGGATCGTGTGTGCACGTTGCATATGTAGCACAAAATTTTCCTGTGTGATGTAAAAAACACAAAGAAATAATACTAAAAAAAGAGCACCGAACACCAAAACCAACGAACAAACGGAGAAAATAAATAAACGAAATGAACACAATGTTGTAGTTCAAAATGAACGTGTATACATTACAGTCGGTTCGTACGCCATCGTTTTGAACGTGTAGAAGTGCGATTGAATGCGAGTACAAACGAAATAAACTACAATTACACGCTGCGTACATAGTGTGCGGGTACACTATATATAACGTAAGCCTTGACATACTTTCTATGAAAATCAATGATGAAAGTAGTCCACTTTCAATTATCGAGTGATAATGAAACAATTTTTGTCGACTGGTGTCTTTTTTTTGTGTATGCTGTATGTAAGCGCAAAACTTTTTCCTGGCTGATTTTTTGTTGTTTTTGTTGTTGTATTGGAACTCCAATTGTTTGCCATTGCTTTGCTTTTGCACCTTATCCGTTGAAGCGGTCATTGTTCATTTTCAATTTCCGATTAACTCGACTCTCTCATTCATATTAAATAACCTGTTGCTTTCAATTAATTTGATTTGTTTAACTGAAATGTGAAACGTGTGAATATTCTCGTCATATTTAGAAAATTAAAAATATAATCACAAATGCTTATTTATTAATCGATTAAATTTGAATTATTTGAAATTATTTTTACTTTCTACATTTTTCCATAAATTAACAAAACAAAAGCTAGAATATATCGAATTAACTGTGTGTGTGTATGGTTTTATTTAATTTAATTTATTTTTTATTTTTTTGTAATTAATCGAAGCAGAAAGTAAAAAGAGTTGTAAAAAATGAGCTATTAAAATTGGATTTTATATCGATTTTCTCCTCTTGTAACGCTGCCACCTCTTCGTCCACTGCGATTATTATCGATCGGTTTTGGTGGCAATGAAGCCGTTTTATCTTGTGGTGCCAATGACATATAAATATGCTTTGGTGGTGTACGTGAATTGATGTGTTGATGATGGAAAGATGCATTCGATGTATTATGTACGTCGACCTTCAAATGAATTGGACTCTGTCGTAAATTTGAATTCACCGAATGATTCGATTCGCTTGAATTCAATGAATCACGTGAATGTTGTTTATTTGAATTTGACGCAACGGCCGGTGAATATTTACGCGCACTTGGCAATAAAGACCGTTTAAAACCGCCACTATCCGATGATTTATTCAGTTTTGGCGATTCTTCCAGACGCTGATAATACTTCGTCGATGTATGTTCAGGTTTGGAGAATTCCGATTTGTTCATGGATCCGTAATCCTTGCGCTTTAGTGAAAAGTGTGGATTAGGAAAGTTGAGCATTTCTTTCATTTCGACATAATTTTTGGCCGGCGGTGTAAAATCACGCCGAGAGTATTCATTTCGTTTCATCGTTGCCGCTTTCATATCGTATGGGATTTTTGGCGGTGTTGTTGAACGGGCTTTATTTGATGAATCACTTAAACGATCATAGTCAATTTTTCGCGGTGGTTTCAAACTGCGCGCTGGCCGTGGCAAAGCACTTGGTGGTAATGATGTACCGCGATTCTCCTTCATTCGTCCGCCCATTTGATACGATGAATTTTGTCCCAAATTTGCGTACGTTTTTACGTCCTGTAAATGAAAAAAACGCATGAATGCTTCGGCAATAAATACAAATTCACGAAAAAAAACGGTCGTTAATAACGAATTGAAAAAATTGCATCTTCAACAAAAAAAAAAATAACTAGGTAAAATTTAAATTGAAAATTATTATTACAATTTTATCATTATCCGTTGAAAAAAAAAATCATCGGCGACAGTTTTTTTTTTGAATTTGTATTTATTCGGTATCCAATATACTGAGCGAAAATATGTATTTTAGATTGAATTTCCAATGTGATTGCTATATGCCAAAATGCCCAGAAGATGTGTGGGTGTGATTTCGCTTTTGATTTTGTATAAGTTAAAAAGCTTATTTGAAAAACAAAAACAAAGAAAATCGCTCGACCTTTATCAGATTGCTGTTATCAATATTGCTAATATCAGTCATATTCTGACCAACCGTATTCGTTACTTTGGCCAAATTTCCCGTCAGATTATTTCGTAATTTTTGTGAGCATAGGCCTTGTTTTTCAAGCAATACGATTTCATCGGCTTTCGTTTGGTTTGACATCGATGACGACGGTCCAAGATCTTGGTCTTTCGTTTCGTGTCGGTTGCGTTCCCGTTGTACTAGTTTCTATTTGTTAGTGTATTTTTTTTTGGTTTTGTTTATATCAATTTTATTCGCCTCGATTCCATTTTGGCGAATAGAGACGATTTGGTGTGTGTGTTTTTTTGTGCCATCAATTTTATATCGAGGACAAATCAACGCAAATCGTCCACAAAATAAAAGCAAAAACGAATAAAAATTGGTTTAATATGTCAATTTGATCGTGAAAATTACCTGCAAAAATGAGTCGCTATTGTTTGTTGACAGAACGGATACCTGATCAGATAATAAAGCCAAATTCGATTTTTTCGAACTAAGACTGGGAAAGCAGCAGAGACCACGCTAATTCAAAAATAATTAAATAGAGTATGCAATGTGCGAAATGTTGTATTTGTTGTTGTTGTTGTTGTTTATTTTAAATTCAAACGAGGCGGAACGAGCTTGTGGTAATAGTTTTGATCACACTTTCACAAACCTTTTTCTTTGTTTAGTAGAAAATGTCCATTGTTTTAGCGAAGCGTACTCCATGCGCAACTGTATTGTACTGGACAAAGGATTATAAGCCACACGCAACACAAATAAAAATTAAAGCGATTTGTTTTTTCTTATATTCCTAAAAGAAAGTATTTATTGAATTGGGGAGAGCGCAAAGCAGGTTTTGCAAAAAAAATGAAACAAACAGATAAGCATTGTCAAACAGTCAAAAAAGTCCATTGGGCATATTTTCAATTGCATTTTCTTTATTTTGGTAGATAGGTTTGAAAATGTTCAAAAAGAAAAAAAAAATAATTACATAAAAGTTCATTTGGTCCATTTTGTTTTTGAATTATTCATGCATTAAATTTGGGTTTAAAAAAAATTACACTAAAAAACACATTCTGCACATATTCATGCTCCCGTTTGGCGATGAATGTATATGTAAAGTATATATATGTATATAAAAGAATCTTTATGTTTCGAGTATTTGATGGCCATATGTAAGCACCTCATTTCTAAATCCTTCTATTCTAATTGTTTTCGATAATTTACAATATTAATTGTTATCAACTAGGTACACTATTCGTAAGGTAGTTTCAGCAATTGGAATTGAATAACAATTAAACACATTTTTTTTCTCATCAAACAAGAAATAATAATAATAATAGATATTTTCACCAACTCAATATCTACTAGAGAGTTTTTATGTTTGCATCTTCCTTCTGGTAACAAACCATTCCGATTAAACCCCTTTCGTATCTTGAAAATGTTTTTTTTTTCTTCGTTGTCTTGTGCAAATCATGAAATTGTTTAGCTTCCAAGACTATTTGCAGCTACCTGACTCAAATAACTTAAACCGTATTTTATTGTATAACCAATAAATCGGCAAAGTACACAAAGCATCTTGACTAAAAAAGGTCTCCGTGAAAAGTATCAAAGTCTGCAGAGCCCGCTGCAGCGCTATTTTTCTTCGAATTAAAATCAATTTTTTTTTTCAATTTATTGGCTGCACTTGTACTATAATGCGTTGATTTTCATTTGGAGTTTCGACTCGACGGAGTCAATTAGTTTATAACACTTTCACAGAAATGATTATATCATTTAGATGAATTTCAGTCTCATTTTATCTAATGCTTTGCAAATGTTATTTTCCTGACTGTTCATGAACCGCTAATAAAGCTATAAACATGTCCAAATGCTCAAAATTCTTTGGAGAAAAAAAAATCTTATGCTTCGATACTATCAATTTCTTAAAATATTTCATTGTGTAAAATCCTTTATCACCCTAAAATCTCTTCATCACGGAGCACTTTTAAATCAAAGTCTGTTAATAAGTAGCTGATTTTTTCTTTTCTTCTTTTAAATTAAAACAAATTCGAAGGAAGCAAAGCAAAAATAAAAATACTTCTAGCATTACCAAAATCAGAAATCATATTAATTTTGGGGGTTTTCAAACTTTATCTCACTCAATTGTAAAACACGCCAAGGCATTTGGTTGTTTTAGTTGAGCATTTTTAGTAGTGTTGTTGGTTGGTTCCATTGAAATGTCAGAAAGTAAAATTGGAATTTTCAAATTAAAAAAAAGAAATTAAGCAAAAACGAAAAACCAAACGGATAACAAACTGCGGGGGGGCAGGGCGGTAGAATAACACAGTGTTTAGTAAAATTCTTCTTTGTCAGCGGATATGTCTCGGCATGAGCTAGCAATTTCTTTACTAGTTTGTATTTGATTTAAAATAATATCATTGGTCGAATTGTATTCTCGTTGCTTTTGTGCTAAAAGCCTCGATACATGCTCCAGTGACAATTGGCTTACCTTCGTAAGTAACTGTTCGTCAAGATGCTTTTTCATATGGTCATCAATGGATTTTCGTGTGATATTTTCGTATGATGTGTCATAGCTAGATGTGTTTTGGTTATAGTTTGGCGAATCGTAATTATTGCTATAGTTGGAACTGTTGGCCGAATAGCCACCTGCAACACCGCCACCATTTGGCGAATTAACAACATTACTATTCAAATTGATTGACTGTAGATTGGTCGGATTGGTTTTGTATGGTGATGGAACTTGTTGTGAATAGCCGCCAATCGATGCAGATGGATGACCGAATGTTTGTTCAAGCAACGATGCATTTGTTGTCGTATTAAAGGAATTATTCGATGCATTGTACGATGTCTGTGAATTAAATGCCAATGGACTGAGGCCATAGCTATTATACGAATCAAATGATGATCCGCAAACTATTCAAACGAAATAAAAAGAAGAAGAAAAAACAAAAAAACACGAATTAATATCGAACTCTTGGAGGTTAGCAAAAAAATTACTTTTCTTTTCTTGCAATAATCTTATTTCGACATCTTTGTCAGCCAATTTACTTTCCAATACTTTGAGATGTGCCTGTAAATCGTTCATTTTCCGTTGGGCCGAATGAACTTCCTCTAAATATCGGAGCTTATCCTGTTTTGCTTCGACTAAATTTCGTTCGTCTTGTTTATCCATCAATTTGGGCGTATTTTGTCTTCCATCATCCATGTGCCGTTGTTCACTTTCAACTCTGTCCAAAATAGAATGGAAGACAAATTGAGCTGATTTGTTCAACTGACAAACTGAATTGTTTATAATTTAAAAATATTTACCGAATCATTTGGGACTTGTCGCCCATTTGCCATTTTGTGTCACTGGTTGTACTGCTACCGCTGCGATTCGATTCTTTTGACAATTCCGGATCAAATTCCAGCATATTTTTTCGTTCACATTGTTTCGGTTGTTGTAATTGATGTAGCTGATTTAATCGATCAATATACATTTGTTTCTTTCGTAATTCTTCCTCCAATCGTCTGATATTTTGTTGGGCATTTGTCAATGCTGAATCCAAAATGCCAATGTGATTTCTTTGTTCCTGCAAAGTTGCTCGTTGGGCACCGAGTTCAATATCTTGTCGTTCTTTAGCTGCGCTCAATTCTTTATCTAGATTTAATAAGTAAATATGGTCGATTAGATTACGATATATATAAATGCATGCATTTTATGAAATTACTTTGTGTGAAAAGTTGTGCAATCAAAATTTGATGTTCGGACGGTGCAAGCAATTGACTCTGTAAAATATCAACTTGATCTCTCATAACTGCATTTAGCTCTTGAACTCGTTGAAGATCACTCTGCAAACGCATTCGTGCAGCTCTCTCAAGTTTCTCACGTCGTTCGCATGTCTGTTTCAATTCTTCATGAGCCCGATAGATATTTGTGACCTCTTCTTCAAGCTGAAAATTAATAAACACAAATACTATCAACAATATATTCGATTCGGAATATTTTCAAAAATGCGCGTACCTTTTGTGTTTTGGCCACTTTTGTAAAACAATTTTGCAACTGTTGCTTGAGGAGGTGATTCTCTTTGACCAGAGCTTCCATGGCATCAATATGATTTTCGGGTATTCTAAAACACACACAATGACAATGATAAATAAGTTGAAGGAATAAAGAAAAATTGAGACAACATTTACTTCGTTAGATCGGGTTGACTTTTTGCTCGGGTTGACTTTTGCCTAGGGTTAATCACAAAGAAAAGAATGGAAATAATGGGAATTAATCAATATGTAATGGAACGTAATGGAAGTAATGGAAACATATAATGAAAATCAAATATGTATAGTTTAAGAGCAAAGTAACCGTCACACATTTGCAACAACATTGCTTTAATTTGAGATTTGGTAGTAGTGTTAAGAATCGCGTTCTGCTGTGGAAGAAAAACAAAAACAAAATGCTTACTATAGAATAGCACTTGGTGCCAAGGCCACTACCTATTTCAATTTAAAAAAAAGAATGGAATGAAAAAAAATATCACCATTAATATATCAATCGGTCTACAATGAATGGAACCAAACGACACTTACTCACACACGTAAATTACTCTTAGACGGAGTAAACTACGGGAGACGGCCGAGGAGGATATTCATTTAATGAGCGGCAGCATTAGCCGCCCGTTGTCGTAAATAGGCAGCACTCCGATTGAAATCACCATTGATTGGAATATCTTGTATCATACACAATGATTTGTATATCATGTTGCGTGATGCATTCAGATCACGGTCAAAAACAATAGTTTGCTTGCGTCCATTGTATTGTTGATTCGCGATAGAATGTCCATAATGCTTGAGATTCGGTTCCAATTCAAGGCGATGTTTTGATCGGAATGTATGATGAATTTTGGCTATCCACTCATTTGGTGGTGGGAGAACATGGTTAAGGGCCGGTTCGCAGTTGTTGCAAACTAAGAAACTGAACGATACGATAAAATTAACATTCATGTCATACGACACATTTACTGAATAAAATAAAAATGCAATACAAAAAGCAATAAACTTACCGATCCTTTGGATTCATATTCTCCGGTCTTTCGCGGTGCAATGGTTGGTCTGTGATATCGTGATCACGACTACAGAGCATCGATGTTCCTGGCTCATGAACTGCCATTATGCGACAATATCGATCAATGGTATGTGTTATGAAGGCAGCTTTAATGTCTTCCGGACATTTTGGCGGTTCTTTCTTCTCGTACTGTTTCTTGCCCTTTTTCTTCTTATTCTTTTTCTTACTCGTTTTGGTCGGTGCACTCGTCGCGTCACGCTTTCGACGAATCATTCTCAGGCATGCTGTCACACCGTCGGTCGTAAAATAGTTGCCGAAAATTTGTCCGTTACGATTTATTTTCCGCAAATTTACATACCGATTCCAAAACGCATCATAATCATTGTTATCCCAATTTGGTTTGTCACTTCTTCTTACTTTATCTTCTTTGCGGGCATACAATAAATTTGTCATGTCGATGAAACCATCCGTATCGAATTGAACATGTTTGCGTTTGTTCTTCGATTGCGGAATGGCACGAAACGACTGCCACTGCTCATTTGGATTGGCCACATTGTGCTGTTGAATCCAACGCTGTAAATGGATCAGCTCGTGCACGTGTTTATAGTACTTGGTATCGTCTGTTGTAGTCCACAACCAGCCACGTGGTATGAGATGGTCGTCTTGGAACACAACATTTTCAGGATCATTTTCGTAGAGAGCAATACGGTCGAGTGGCAACAATGGATGCAGCTCATTGTAGTATTCGGTTAAATGCGCGCGAGTGCCGTCATACAGCTCGACTTCCGAATCTTCGTATTGCAAATAGTCCATCAACACATCAATCTCCTGTTCCATAATATTTTTGCGCTTGAAATAATTGCGAATGTGATCGTTGCCATGCATATTTGTGTTATTGCGCATATTTGTGGCGGACTGTTGGTAAGCAAAACTAATCGGGTGAGTTAAGTTGTTAATGTGTGGCTGAACTGGAATGTTCTTATCCCTTAGATATTGTGCAAACATTGGATTTAATGGACAATTGACGTTAGCTTGGCAATGTTTTAGGGCAAAAAAATACTTGTGTGCATCAAAAGGCGCTAAAAATTCTGCACGGATTGCTGCATCGTTGTTGCTATCGACCAAACGATTCAATTCGTTGTGCACATAGTATGCCGATAATCGCGTCAAGTCGGACATCTCAATCACAGCATTATCAATGATTGCCATTAATCGGCGTTTCATATCACTATCTCTATTGTTGGCGTTGTCAGCATTCGTTGCATTCATTTGATCTTTGTTTCGTTTACCACCAATACGAGTTGGATCATTCGGACCGTTTCTCAAAAATGTCCGCAGAGACATTTTGATGGTGAATGTCTCTTGGTTAGGATCCGATTGTTCACCTTTGCGGCGACACACTCGTTCATTGCGGAGCGGTTGTAATGGTGCTCCAATCGGTGCAGCCGATGTCGATGGAATGACCGGACTTTGAACTAACGAACGAGCGACAGACGGTACAGTTTGCACACGTTTTGAACGGCGTGCTGGTGGTTGTTGTGTGAAACGTGACGATGACGGCCGTGGCGCAGAGGTCAAACCACGTGAAGTAGATGGTTCGTCTCGCATGGCTGGTCTCAAAACTGGCCGACTTGGCGGTGGTTCAGATACTAAAGGACGAGCGATAGACGGTACAGTTTGCACACGTTTTGAACGGCGTGCTGGTGTTTGTTGTGTCACATTTGGCGGTGGCACATTCCATTGCCGTAACAAATCTCTGCTCATTCTTTGCAATCGAACAACTGGTTGATTGTTCGCTAGGTTTGAAACCTATAGAGACAAAGGAAAAATAAAAAAAATTGCATTAATATAATGTATACAATTATACATATTGGAAATTTAATTTTAAAAAAATGAAAATGAATTTTTTTTACCGAATTAAATGGTTGTTCGGTACGTCTTATTTTGGCCGCTAGCGGCTCATCGTCCCTACTATCATGTGGCTGAGAAGAACGAGCGACAGACGGTACAGTTTGCACACGTTTTGAACGGCGTGCTGGTGTTTGTTGTGTCACATTTGGCCGCGGTACATTCCATTGCCGTAACAAATCTCTGCTCATCCTTTCCAGACGAACAACTGGCTGAGTGTTCGCTAGGTTTGAAACCTATAGAGACAGGGGAAAAATAAAAAAAATTACATTAATACAATGTACACATCAATAAAATATGCTGTTGAAAAAATGACAACAATAATTGTACAAGTAAAAAAAAATTCAAATGTACTTACCACATTTCCGCGCTCCACCCCACATTCCTCGTCTCCACATTCCTCGTCTGCGCGCATTACTTTTGTATGCAATATGAAAATTGAAAAACTTAGTTATGAAATGTGCTGTTGCTTCAAACGTCAAAACTGAACTAAACGGTGTGGCATCGCTTATTGTTGAAGGCGATTTGTGTTTGTGATGTCAACCCAGTGGCCAAACATAATATGTATTCAAATCTACTCACCACAATGTGCTAAGTAATCTCTCCCTTTCTTTGGCTCGCTATCTCTGTTGATCGTGTGCTGAGCCATGTTGTCGATGCAACGTTAATGCGATAGTGTGTATCCAATGATGATTCCTTCGTTGCTCTGCTCTGCTACTACTACTACTACCAAATCTCAATTTTTGTGAGCAAAGTGTTTGCTAACGCAGCTTCGTTCAATTCATTTGCAAATTGTTTTTAATTTATGTGTGTATATGTGTGATCAAACCCTTACTACTTTCTTACATACTAAATAGATATTGATATTGTGATTTTTTGAAATGGATGTAATGGGTGTAATGGAAAAATAATCGAAAGAATGGATAGCATTCTTCAATAATGGAATAGTAATTTTTAAAGTAAGTATACCCTGTTGTATGCTCTTTGTCATTATCGAGTAAACTTCGTTCTCGTGATGAGGTTCGCTGTCGATTGCTTGGTATTTTCATTTCTTTGGCGAGATGCTTCAGCACATGACTTTGATTTAAGTAATCGTCGGGAATTTCGGTAATCTCTTGCATCTCTCTTTTACCATTACCATCCTGCACCAAATGTTCGCCCGTCAAGCGATTCAATGGCGCATGCAGTGTATCATCCGGATGTATAATCAATGTATTATACGAACATGTTGATACATCCATCGATGAACGATTCGAATTGATGTTTTCTTTTAGAGAATTTCGATTCGATCCGATGCCAATGCTTATGCTATTGTTTGGATTATTGACAATATTTTCGTTGATATTGCAATTTGCTTGCTGCAAATTTGGAGTTTGACTGCCTGAATGACTACGATTACTCGACGCATAACGCGTCGAATCGGACGATGTATTCGAAGAGAATCTTTGCTGATCCGATGCATATCGAGCTGTGTGTAATTATTTAAGTTTCTTTTGAATTATATGAACAAAAACATATACTCTCGTTGCTCACACCACAAGCTATAAGCTAGTGATTATGCGGTTTGTGCTTGTGTACGTGTTAAAAGTGACTAATCTAACCTGAATTCGATTCGACCAAATTCTCTTGTCCTTGTGGCTCAGCACGTGGCGTATGGCGCAAAACATATCGTTGTTCCATCGATAAATTTTCATTTGATGTTGAAATGTCTGTATCGGATTCTAAAATATTGTTTAAAATGTTTTTTGGTTGGCATATAAAATAAAATGATTGAAAAAAATAGGTGCCCATAAATTACCATAAGGTGATTGGTTGGTTTGCAATTTTTTTGTTGTTTGCATCGTTTGATTGGGACTGGATTTGATATTTTTCGTGTAAACAATTGTGGATGGTTTTTTGCCAACTATTGAAATCGTACTATTTTTTGTAAAATTTGCGGATGGCTTTACTGGTTGTGGTTGACTCGTTTGTGACGAAACTGATGAAAATCGCAGACCAGATGGTTTTGATGACATTCTATCGCTTGTTAAATGAAAATATCCGTATAAGTAATTCGAACAAAACTCCCTAAGACATCTGAAATAATGGAATGAGCGGAAGAGAAAAAAAAAATACATGATCAAATTAAAGACTCGCTAAACAACATTTAATATATCATATACACAATGCGTCATCGTAAAAGTATTTACGTCGAACTCTGAATGTGAAATTACACTATGACACATAACGACATCGAAAAAAAGCAAATAAACAAACACACACACACATGCATGTATGTAAACGAATTTCGTTCAAAAAAAACTATAAGATTCTCTGAAAATTAAAAATGTTCTCAATCGCAATAAGATATATTAAAAAATTTCCATCACGTCGCGTCGAACCGTTCGATTCAAACTTATTTGCATTGAAAATGTTCCGTTTATTTTGTGTTTACAGTAAACTATAATTTGTCAATGCCGCACAGCGCAAAATTCAATCAAACGACTACACATTCATTCACACATTGCGTTCATAACAACAAAACTGATCATTCGGTTTTCTATTTGATGGTTGTTATTCATTTTATTTTTGTACAGTTTTGATAGCACTATGACGTGAATTAACGCGATTTTAAACACACATTCAATATCTACTATCAATTTCGAGTGATCGATGAGATTCAAATTAGACTATGTTTTCATCAAGTTTTTCAATTAAAAAAATTTATAGCAAAAACAAACCATATTTTGGTTAATAAGAATTTTCAATCAACATTATAAAATCACTCTTGTTACACTTATTGATAGTTAAAGACTCCTCTCCTGTCGTCATATAAAATTTAAACCATTATGCGCCATTCAAGCAATTATTTTCAACACAAATTTTGACCAAAAGAATAACTAAATTAAATCATCGGAGTATGATTGTCGGCAAACGAATGGAATGTAGTGAACGCACTAAGTCTATATTTCATTATGTACATTCCTAGTGCGCATATTGCGCTTTTGGCTATGTATTTGGCAATTATGAATTACACCTATAGACACTGCATTCCGATGAGCACATAGATGAAGAGAGAGAGAGAGAGAGAGAGAGAGAGAGAGAGAGAGAGAGTGACAGAGAGTCATTTGTGACGCAAACATTGACTTTTGGCCAACTTGGGTCATTGCTCATCTCATTGCCGAAACAAGACTCACATTTGTAACAAACAATTTGGATGATTAAAACGAATACATAATAAATTACGCTTAAATTGCAACGTGACAAAAACCATGCACAATAATAACAACCGATTCGATCAAAAATGTGCGGAATGTTGATAGGAAATTGAATGAAATACGAGTGAAGCATTTCTTTCTTTCTTTCTCTCTCTCTCTCTCTCTCTCTCTCTCTCTTCCTCTCTTTCTGTGTGTGTTTTACGAAACCCAAAAAAGAATTTCATGATCATTCGAATTGAAATGTGAATGCAGCAAAAGGCGATACCATTCTAGTTTGATATGTCAACCGATGTTCAAATGTAAATAACATTCGATTCTTATACGAAGGTCCGATGGGTACAAAGTTTCATCAAAAAAATAAAAGAATATGATGTTTCGTAAACGAAGCACACTGATCACTTGAACTCCATATTTTCGTTCGTCATTTCAATACATAGATCGCACAATGTCCACTCAAAACAATGCATTCTCATTTATATTCGTAGGGAATAAAAATAAATACACAACACACAATAGAAATATTTCGTTTTTATTGAAATCATCGCATATTTAATGATAGACTGCGTGAAACTTACATTCGACTTGAACATCAATTTCTTTTCAATTTTAACCGAAGCAATTACACTCTTTTTTTCTCAACAAATGTACAATTTTTCAATTATTCATTTGCTAAACACACAATTTTGGCACATTAGGAAAATAAATAGTTTGCGCATAGCTCACACGCAGCGCTGCGTCTCAACCATTTTTTTTCTCCTTCTTCTTCTGTCTTTTAAACTTATTACTATTATGAAATTATTAAGTCAGACGATTCGATTGAATTTCAGCTGGATTGTGGTGAATTTAAATCGCTAAAAATGATTGCACGGTAAATTATATGGACCGCATGGATTTCTTTTTATTTACTGCATTCAATCGAGTGTTGGGATTATATTGAATTGCACGGCCTGCAAATATTTAACTTTTCTGTTTTCATTTCGATCTATTTTACATGATCATACTTACTGCCGTTATTTAACATTCGTATTTTGCTTGCATTTTTGGAATTGGTGCGTTTACCCATTGAAATCGCTTCGAAGCGATTTGCAAATAGTGATGGACAACATTTTGGAAATGGTCTTGTTAAACACATTGCATGCTCTTGGCATTCTGATCGTTCACAGTAATCTTGTAATCCATTGCGACGGGTACAGTTACAGTGTGCAATTAAACGTCCTCCTCGTAATTCACGACTTTTACTTGACCAATTTTTCCATGACATTTTTTTAAAATAAATAATTTTATTAACTTGATGCAATTTCAAAACTACTTTATACAGATTGCTTGAGAATATATGGTTACTCGATCAAATTCGGTGTAAAACATTTTTTTTTCAAATTGGAGAAGTTTTAGATACAACAAACTCACCACATTGCAGATACTTACCTCACTGAAATGACATTTGTTCTCATATTGTTCATTTATCTCGATTCAAATGTGCATTGAGAATGAACATCTGGCTGTTTTGGTAATGTAATAAAGGCGAAAAATTGATGATTGCAATAGCATTAAAAATGTTCCATTTTTAACCATTGAAAGTCAAATCCCGTCTCATTTTGATGGGATATTTAAATTGAAATTATTTCTACTTTCAGAGCAATAAAAAATGTTGTACGACAATAACAGCCTTGGAATATCCGTTTGATTGATGCTTTTCTTACTTTTAGTTCTTCTCTTTCACCATTTTTCGTTGGATTTTAATACATTTAAAATAAAAATCGAAATTTTCAATTAATAATGATCAATTAAAAATAATCAATTCCTTCGTGTTTCTTTAAAAAAAAAAACTAAAAAAGAAGATTTGTAAATTTTGTTTGGAAAGTCTTTTCCTCAAATATTCTGAAAACCATTCGATATTTTGGTTACCTTCAAATTTGCGTAATTTAGGCAAGAGACGCAAATGTAATTTTTATTTTTAATCAATTGAAAGTCGCGCGACGAAAATATCAACCACAGAACAAACTGACGATAGATTGAGCTACATTCATTTAATATATGATTTTGTCATTTGCACATGACTTCATAAACCAGATTCAAAACACATACACACTCTGCGTTGATAACCTCAGTGTATTTTGTTCTTAACATTTGAATTTCAATTTCATTAGAAAAAACAATGACCAATCGTATTACGTTTGCACTATCGAGGAAAATTCCGACCTTGTTGAACGGACACCGATATTTCCAAACAAATCGCTTTGTTTCAATATTTGCATGCAATACGCAAACCGGCATATTTGGTCAAAATTATATAATAAACAACGAAAATTACAGCGTTGTATTCAAAAATATGGGCCAGCGATATTCCACAGATAACGCACAAATAGTTATACCGATTGTCACGTATGAAGATGTTAAAGATCTTACCAATCATCCAGAAAAAACATTAATCGATGTTAGAGAACCGAACGAACTACAAGAAACTGGCACGATTCCAACATCCATTAACATACCTTGTAGGTATTTGTTTGTCGTTTTATTTATTGTTTGATTGATATATGACATTGCATTTTCATTTGATCAGTGGGTGAGGTGAATACAGCATTGAATTTAAGTGATTCACAATTCAAAAAGAAATACAGTCGAAACAAACCTGGCCCTACCGATGAAATTATCTTTCACTGTAAAATCGGTATGCGATCGGAAAATGCGGCTATAGCAGCTACAAAATTGGGCTACACAAAGTAATTAATTTTCATTTGCTTTTGAATTAATTTCCTATAAATTAATGAGTTCTTTTTGTTGGCAGCGCCAAAAACTTCAAAGGATCTTGGTTGGAATGGGCAGAACGAGAAGGACTACCAAAGTGAAATAGAATTGGCTTTTACATAGATAACAACAGCAAGATCAATTTTGTCAGCAAATATTTATAATGTTTCATTTATTCCACACATTAAACATCACATTTGGATTACAATTTATTCCCTTTGAGTCTTTCCTTGTTTTTTTTTCTTTCCCGCACATCATTTTGTACAAGTAACACATTTTCAAAACGTTTATATATTTTGTTTTTTGTTGTTGACTGAAAGTTTAAGTAAATGTTAAATTTGTGTTTGCATGCAAACTCATTAGTTCGTGTGTAATAAAAAATAATTCAATTTCATTTGCCCGTGGGTCATTTTTTTTAAAAAAGAGAAAAATTGTTTAACAAAAAAATAAACAGTCATAAATAATTTGTTTTTTTCATTCAATCACAAAAATTCAAATCCTCCAATTCGATTTTAAAAAAATATTCAAAAATATCGCAAAATGTGTCTATTAAAGCTGATGGTGGTGGTGGTGGTGGTGCTGTTGTAACTTAAAATACTTTTGGCTTTTTACGTTTGCCAGCATCGGCTTTGAGTGATTTCTTCTTTTTCATGCGACGACCATCTTTCGTCAAGCTGGATTTGCGTAATGACTTGAGCCGAGTCCCGTTGCTCGATGATCCGGCACTATTAAATCCGCCCCTTAATTTAATGGCTGAACTTTTAACTTTCGTACTTTGCACAATTGACGATTGGCTGATTAAGATTGACGATGTTGATGCTGATGATTTTCTGGGCAATAGAAAAGTGCCCGATTTTTTCGGTACATTCGGATATTTAAATGGATTGAATGATGATGATGGTTGTGGCAGTAATTGGTATGAACAGCATGGTAAATCAGGATCAAATGATGTAGTTGGTTGATCGATGAACGCCGATAAATCTTCGGTTACCGATGCGCTTACATTTTGTGGCATTGTATTTACATCGTCTGATTTTAAATTCAAAGTACTGATCGCATTCATATCTAAATCAAGTGGTGAATCTTTTGTGTCGACCTTGTCGCCAACATTGAACTTTTTATTGGTCACAACTTTTTGACGTTTTGTTGGTATTGGAGCGGCCGATGTGGAGGCAATTACATCGCACAATACTTTGCCCTTTTTTCGATTCAACGATACAGTTGTTGATTTTTCCTTTTTTCCATAAGATATTGATGGTTTGTTAGTTGTGTGACGCTCTTTATTTTCTTTACACACATCTGTTGTGGTTGTTAGTGGTGAACTGCATGCAGTGGATGTTTTTAGAGATTTCAATTTTGTGTGAGATGTTGTGGCCTAAATCAAAAGAAAGACAAACCATTCTACGGTTAATACGTATGAACTACTAAGTGTCAATCGATCATATTTCGAGTGGATCGAAGGAACTTTGTGCATGGATAGGAGCTAATTTTAAACGATGACTCTTTTTTCGTATAACGCGTATGTGACGCTTAATTTTTTTCTTATTTGACAATTCATTAGTTGGCTTATGTTGTTTCTTTGGCTTTTGATTTTTTGTTTTGTTTTGTTTTGTTTTGAATAAAATAATATATTGATTTTCTCATTAGTCTCAATAGTTACAAAGCAAATATTACAATATGCAATCTTACCTTTTGAATGGGTTCGGCACGGGACAGGCCACGTTCAATATCGTTGCGTAGTGCATTTCGAAGGCCTTGCAATGTACGAAATTCGGACATACGAAGTCGTGACGATGGATTCGATTCAGTCAAATCCAAAATAGAGGGTCCCAGTGCTCTTCCAACCTAATTCACGCATCGAATAAAACAGTTTATAAATGTTCATGGAAAATAAATCGATTGAATAAAAAATGAAACCTCTTCAAAAATGTTTGGTGTATATTTTGGTGGAATCGTGCAAATCTTTCGTGAATTAATTTCCTTCTCTCTTGGAGGCAGTATATTCACGTATTTTCCCGTATTATAATTTCCCTCCAGTGTGTAACTTTTAACCAAACCGATTGTTTTATAGATAGCAACCCGGCCGGATCCTTCCTTGGACAAACCATCTCGTTTACCTCTATAAAATAAATGGTGATTAGAAATTTAGTGATTAGAATGAAAAATGTTGAAGAAACATTTTAATTAAAAAAAATAATTTTCTTACTTGTGGTACATATTTCGTTCGGAGAAAACACATGCATCGAAATGAAAATGATGACTGTTCAAGCTCATTAATCGTGGCAATAGCATGCATTCGACCGACTCTGCGATTTTTGGCAGGTAATTTCCGTACATAAAAATGCCTTTCTTTGATGCATGCCCATGCAAATCAATATACAAAAACATGTTGCTTTGCTCATCACATTTGGCTTGATTGGAATCTTTACAAAAGTCCGAACTGATATTTATATTTGCCGATGTGGGATTGTGCAAAAATTTACGTGATAATGGCGAACGTTTCACACTTCGACTAGATACACCACCTGAAGAGGGAGCGGCCAATGTGTCATTGTCATTCTTATCGTTCTTCGATAGTTTCCGATTTGTTTTATCAATATTTTTATTACTCCCTGTATTTGACTTTAAGCTTTGTAGTGGCTCTTTCTTTTTCTCACTGCGACCACTTTCAAATGCGCTGCTCGAGTATCGTGCGCTGCCATCCGAACCAGAATCACGACCACTCAATGACGCCGATGAAAATGTGCTTTGGTTTGATATTGACGACGGTCGTGGCGATACTTTTTTCAATTTAATACCTTCAACATTCGCTTCGTTTGCACCCATTTTCGGCATTAGAGAAATCGATGGTTTAGCAATATATTTAGCGGCTGTCGTCACCGTTGGTTTCAATTTGTTCGTATTTTTACGACATTTGACTGTTGCATTTGTGCTTGGCATTTCTTCAGCGCTACTTGGAATCGATTGTGAATCGGTTGAGCAGCCTGGTTTCGGTTCCAATTCCGTTTCAGTGGATGGACTTTGTGTCAATGATATCGATGGCGTTGATGAATTTGACACCGGCACCGAAATTATTTTATCGGTATTTCGATTATTTTTCGCTTCGATATTTATTTCCGTTAATACATTATTGGATCGTGTTCTTTCTTCAGACGATTCACGATTCGGCGTTTCCGTATCAGTCTCTTCGAAACCCGACGATTCTAGATTTAATTCTTCAATATTATTTCCAAGATTATTGGATAAATTCAAATCGGGTATTTCGTTATTATTATCCACCGGTTGTTGCTCTTCATCAGCAATATCTTTATCATTGTGATAGTACCTGCAATCATTAGTTTACGCATAGGTTATATTAAGTGTCTATTTTTAAGGTGTCTTTGGTTATTTTCGAACCATTAACCTTACCTTATCAATCTTCTGACCGCATAAATTGATGGTTGAGTGTCACGCTTGGGTGACAAATAAACACGGTTTAAATTGTGACCCAAAACATCTGATCGATAATATCCATTAAATACACCGTCCTATGTTTGAATTGTTTAACAAATAACAAATTCATTACTTATTGTTCATATTGAGAAATCGATTCAATCAAATGCACAAACCGGATTTAGAAGGGGTATTATTTTGAAAATATACATTCTTCTAAGTATGGTGGCGTAACGATTTTTTCGATCGAATAACATTTTCAAAAAGCCATTCAATATGAAAGATGCTGGCGTTTCGCCCGGATGAACTCGCGATGATACAAAAATAATCTGAAACAATTGATCGAATAAATCCAATGCATCGATTCGAAATATTCATATTTCAAATGTACCTTTTTGTTTTTAAACAATTTACATCGTTTGGAATGCGAATCTGGAAATAATTCGGGAAATCGATATTCATGCTCCTTTTGAATGTTATGAAATGAACTAATTGTAAGCAAATCCACTCGTCTTCCTTCCACCGAATTTGTCAATAATTCACGATGATAATAGATTCCATTTTCGATTTCGTCATTCGATTGATTTTCCAAAATATTGATGCGTGACGACGACTCATGACTTCGATTTGGCTGTTCGGCTACAAACGAAATTGTATTTTACAACCAGAAATTAACACAAATTAAAAGAAATTTATCATTACCGTTAAGAATGTTTTGTACATTTTCAACCGCTTCCGAATCACCATTTTCAAAGTTGATTGTATTGCAATTGACATCGACATTCAGACGTTGAAGAATGTAATTCATTTCATCTTCGGATTTTAGGTATAGGCCATCAAATCGTGCCAATTGATTTTGGCATTCAGTGTATGTAAATGGGAACGTAAATGCATAGTAAAATTTCGTCGCTATATCCGTTTGTGGTTTGTGTAGAAAGCTCAATACAAATTCATTATCGTTCACCTAAAAAAGGACATGACAATTAGCATAGCACGCATTTATAATGCCGGTTAATTGCAATGAATTCGGATGCTATAAATTCAATGTCAATAACAAAATCAAAATCAATCGATTCATTCCGTTAATGTAAATGTTTCAACGGAAATATGCAATTGGGATTTTAAACAGTGAAAATATTCAACAACACTAACATTGTAAACGGGCGAGTGTTTTGTACGCTCCCATTTGCCATTTTCACCAACTCGAATAACCGGATGCATTCCTTGGCTAAAGAGTTTCGCTTGCTTGTTTAAATTCACAATGTTCAATTTGCACACTTTGTTTGGCTCGCCGCCTGAAAAATGTCAAATTTTCTTTTACCCATGTTGATCTATTTCGTTTTTATTTTTCTTTGATTTTTAAACAGATTTTAATTTGGTGTGTTTAACCAAAACCAAAATTATACGAAATAAATAATCACCTTGAATGCTGAAAAAGAACCATGATCGATTGAGATTTTCATATTCCGTGCCCGCACAATCGGGTCGCGTCCATAGATTCAATTCAACCGCTACCGTTTCGTTATTTGGTAGTGCTTCTAAAAAAAGATTCAAATCAAAACAAACCGTGTCAACGAAGTAATGCATGAAACAGTGGATTTAAGTTTGTTTTCAGTTGTGCGTGTCATAATTGACAAAACATAGAAAAACAAAATGTAATGTAAATAGCAACAACAACAACAACAACAACAACAAAAATACAAATGACGTTTCACAAGGTCGAAATAGGTCATACAGAAATTTTGATCCAAAAGGCCTAATCTACTGAACTGAACCAATAGCATTAACACTTTATTATTGTTGTTTTGTTTCTATTTTGTGTCAATTGGATTCAAACACTATTATCGATCGATCACCTCTTTTTATCGATTTTTTTTATATACCTTCATGCCATTTGACGAGTTCCACTTTGTTCAGATTGCCTGAATCAAAATTTGATGAGAAAATATAACCAGCACATATGAAATTATCCATTTCGTTGAATGTTTTGGTTCTCACCACAAAATGAACAACAAATAAATTGCACCAGTTTTATATAAATGTTGCTTCGTCTATATGTTCTAGATTTTTCGATTGTTTATTAGTTTATGGTTTAGCCATTGATACGCTTCACAAATTTGAAGTTCATTAAAATTAAAATTTAAATCGTTTACACAAAATTTCAACGATGAGAGAGCGAGAAAAGACACACCGCAAAAAACAAATTGTGTTTTATTTGTGATGTATCTTGATTTGGTTTCGTTTGTAAATGATTGAATTTACATTATCTCTTTGTAGCTAAAATGACTCAAATGGTGACAAAGACACTTGCATTCAACGATACAAAATCCTGTGAACACATTTATGATGTGAGTTCTATCGATACACACGTTGTATCTTGAGAAGAAAAAAAATTGTGTGTTTGGGTTTTTGTTTCTTTTCGTTTTTCTTTTTCGTTGGCCGTGGTTTTGTTTTCTTTTTTCATCATTTGAATTGTGTGTTTTGTATACTACTACATCGTACGCTTCGTAGTTGTTGATTTGAGCGCTATTGACCCAAAACTGTTGTCGTTCTCTTTCGCTCTGCTTTGCTGCAACGTTGTGAATTCGTGATTTCACAATTCGAATTTCACGAAATAAACTTTGAATAGTGGGGAATAGATAAATAAATATCAAAACCAGTTTAATACAGGAGGCTATTTTTGGTTTTGACAGTATTGTCAGCTGATTATATAAACAAATTTCTTTCAATAAAATCACCGAAATACATTTGATTCATCACATTTGTAATCCTTTTGTCAATTACTAACACATATTCGGTTGTTGTTTTTCAATCACACATTTTTCTTGTCTCGCCAATAACAAAAAAAAAACACCATCCTATTAGTTTGACGATGCAATGAATAGTATTTCACTTATTTTTGTTGGCTGCCATATTGAAAAATGGTTGTGTATGTGTTGGGTTCTTCTCCGTCGTGCTGCGTTTTCTCGGTCTTTCGATTATTGAAATGCCACAAATGTTCGAATCGTTGGTTGGATGGAAAAAATACGTATATACACAAAACAAACGTGTGTGTACGTTTTATTTTGAGCGCATACAATTAAAAACCCGTTCTAAAAATGGAACGTGTGCATCGATGACATTTTCGACACTTTTTGGCTCAATGGAAATGCATACGGAGACAATTTTTGTTCTTCGATAACAATTGATTGAACTTTTGACGGGGTCAGAAATGCAATTCATATGAAAATGTTAGTGCGTTGCATTAAGCTATATATATACAGCCCTGCACTATTCGATTCATGTCAAATGGATTTGTAAATGCAACCCTGCGCATTCTATTTTAAAAATCGATTATTTGAAGAAAAAAAAAAATATAATTCAAAAAATGCATCATGAATTTTGGCAGTTTCGATTCGTTTAATTTCTAACAATTTCCATGAATTTGTTGCAAAAGCAGCGTTCTTAGTAGTTTATCAATTTTTTGATTGCGGAAAGGCAACGATGTTTGGTGGGTAAATAGAATGGTTCATAAACGTGAGGAAATGGTGTATCCCAGCCAGTAACACGTTTAACAGGCGCTTCCAAATAAAGGAAACATTCCTCCTGAAATTGGAAAAAAAAAATTAAACATAAAAATTGTTGAAACTATAAGCTGAATTGAAAAAAGTAGATTTTCTGAATGAAAGTCATCACTTGAATTGTGGCTGCCAATTCAGATCCGAAGCCCGACGTAAGCGGTGCTTCATGAGCAACTATAACACGACCAGTTTTCTTCGCTGACTGAAAATTAGACAGATTTATTTAATTTATGACAAACAAAAGTACAAGCCAATTAAATTTTAAGAGTTGTTTACCTTGCAAACGGTTTCCTTGTCCCAAGGTAGAATTGAAACCAAATCAATTACTTCGCAATCGACGTCCATTTCTTTTTTGGCCATATCAGCCACTTCTTTAAGCACATGCACTTGTGTACCATAACCGATAAGAGTTACATCTAAAGAAATGCAAAATCTACATATATCTTTTGTTTCATTGAAATGGGAATGTAAACACAAGAACAACAGTACCTTTACCACTTCGCAAAATATCAGCTTTTCCAATTGGACACTCATATGATTGATCAGGTACTTCTTCAACTGCAGCACGATATAGTGTCTTTGGCTCAAATACTATACACGGGTCCTTTGTAAACAAAAAATAAATGCGATGAAATATGTATTGGAACCACGATGAACCAATTTGAGGGTTACCTTATCTTTAATGCAAGCCATTAATAGACCTTTTGCTTTATTTGGGCCACGTGGAACGACTATTTTTAAACCGGGAGTGTGAGCAAAATATGCTTCAGGACTTTGGGAATGATAAAGTGCACCATGTCCAACAGCTCCGCATGGTGCTCGGATTGTCAACGATCCACAGTCAAATAAATTTCCGCTGCGATAACGTAACTTTGCTGCTTCATTGACAATTTGATCGAAAGCTGGAAAAATATAGTCAGCAAACTGAACTTCGACTATGGCCGTTGCACCCGTATTTGCAATTCCTTCATAGTAAAAATAAAGAGTTCTGAGCTAATCAATGTTCAAATAAATTAATTCGTCGCAAAACTTACCGATACCAAAACCAACGATCCCTTGTTCGCACAATGGAGTATTGAATACACGATCTTTTCCGTATTTTTTCTTTTAAATAAATCAATTAAATTGAATGAATATTCATGTTGCATATAATTGACAAATAAGCATACTAATGTGGCTTACTTGCAAATTTAATGAACATCGAAATACACCACCGAATCCAACATCTTCGCCAAAAATTAAAGCTGAGTCATCTTCGTTTAAAGCCAGATCAAGGGCATTGTTTATGGCTTGAAACATGTTCATTTTGGTTGTTGGACCATCAATTGGGGCCTTTGCATCTGCTTCATAGATGAAATGTGAGCTGAATCGAATGCCATAACTAGATCGCAGTCCACCACACATTGATTTGAATAACAATGATGACTTTTGAGCCACCGCAAACATTTTTTAACGAAAATAATCGTATACCAAAAAAAAAAAACTAAACCAAAAACAAAACAGCTAAACAAATAAAAACGAGATTCAACCACAATAAAAAATGATCTAAAAACCAAAAATGAAATTATCTATTGCGCCTTTTTTCATTAACGTCCAGAAAAAAAAGAGCTATTGAATTTAAAATAAAAGAGAAACACGGTAATTTAAACTTAAAAACATTTGAAACAAATACAAGTCATTTTAAATGCGTGACGTTAGGCTATACAAATTTGACAAAAATAAAGATCGAAATGTGACATTTTATCGCGTGTGCCACAGTTTGCCTTGTGTATATGAACAATAACAACGCTCATCAATATTGATAAGACAGTGTGTTTTTCAATGCTGCTCCTTTACATTCGTAAGCTACACTTTTCCAATGTTGAATTCGTTGTAAACATTGCCCTTTACATGTCTGATACGCCACATTTTACGTCATCAATCAAAAATCATAGAAATAATACGAAGAAATTATCCGATATTTTTATTGTTAATCACTTTTATTACAAATGAAATAATGTTATTAATGTCTTAAATGTAAATGAAACTGAAGAAAATTGAGAAAATTCGGTATTTCAGAATCCATATTTGCTTTGTGTTTGTCGTCTCGATTGTCGATTGGTGGCCCACATTGCCTGCAATTCGGCTTCGTTTGCTTTTGCCTGGTATGCGAGATAGGTGATTTGATGTTTTTTCTTCGTTCCGGTCCCCGGATCGCCAACGACCAGACGGCCCGTCGGTTGATACTGTGTTTCACCTTGTAGTTGATTTCGTCGCCATTCATCTTGATTTAATATAACTTGATCTTGTGATATATCGATGAATTGAATATCCTCCTTTCGCGATCGCTTTGCAGCTCGAGCACCAATCAACGCTTCAATATTAATTTGATCATTATCTGGTACATACGACGATGATGCCTGTTCCGAATAATCTTCTACTTCGGTCGCACTTTGTTCGGCTTCATTTAAATTTTTCGAAAACTCAGCCATTTGTGTTGCTTTCTTTGCTACCATTGCATTTATTTCGGATGCGCTAACCTCTGGCAATTTATCGTCGGTGTTCAACGAAAAGAAGTCACCGCCACTTTCTTCCTCTTCATTGTCACTGTCATCGCTGTTATTGTAATTTAAACCCAAACTGGTCTTCTTGTTGGCCACCACTGTTGCATTTGGCTTTGATTTGGCGGCCGCCTGTTTTATTTTATTGGCAACGGTATGCGGAATTAATGAAGTTGTTTTTGTTATGGTCGGTTTTGACGATGAGTCATTTGATGTTGTTGCTGTTGTTGACGCTGGTTTCTCTTTTGGTTTGCCAAATGCTGCATTGAACTTTGGTGGCGGCAACATACCGAGCAATCCACTTGGTTTTGGTGCACTCGGTCCAATTGATGCACACTTTTGTTTGGGCAAATCATCATCATCAGCAAATTCGGACAATGACGGTATGGTTATTCTAACGGGTTTTCGAATATTTTCTGGCTTCAATTTTGTTGGCTTTTCCACTAATGATGGTTGCACCTTTTTATGCAAAAATTCATCATCATCTTCTTCAACAATCGTATGTGATTTCTTGGGCGCTGGCAAATTTAATTTAAAATTATCATTTCCAACATTATTATCTTCGTCATCTTTGCTGGTAACATGCTTTGGTTGAGGTAGATTAAGTGATTTACTCATTTGTTGACCATTTTGTTTCTCTGTTGATGCTGAATCCAATGATTGACTTGGTTTCATTGTGATTGTTTCTTCTTTATCTTCATAATCACTATCTTCATCGCTGCTAGCAGCATACGAAACTAACGACAAAGACATTGTACAATTTTTGATTTTCGACAAATGCTTAAAACATACAAACAAAAAAAAAAATCTAAACGTTTTTAATAAATTGTTGCCTCAAAATTGTACACTGAATTGAAAAACCACAATATTGTGCTGTGCGATGACGTTTTCTCATTGTTCGTCTCGCGCAACACTTTTATAGTAGTGTGAACTGTCAAACTGTACATTGACGAATCAATGTAAATTGTTTTGTTTACCAAATCATAAAGTTCAATTGCATTTACTGAGATCGAAATATTAACCGATTTTATTAGGATTCGCTGTGTATCGTTTGAAAAATGGTTTAGTCTAAAATAAGAATATAAGCTGATAAATTGTTAAAAACCAAAAGAACGATGACTTTGGTTCATCGTGCACTGTTTACATGGTTCATAATATTAGTCTTTTGTATTTGTCTATGCTTGAGACTGGAGAATCGAACACAATGGAACTATTTCATCGTATTTATACCGCTTTGGATATTTGATGCAATTTTATTAATTTATGTTATTATAAAAATTGTTTCGAACTATCGATATTTGGAACCGCTTAAGAAACTTATCCAGACTTATCAATGGTACGCAGCTACTTTCAACACCATTTCAATATGAAGTTTTACGTTCAGTTCAAATCTATTTAACATTTCATTTTTGGGAATTGTTTCAGGACTGTTGCGGTGATTCTACTGAAAATAGCAGCCGAAATTTGTATTTGCTTAAAAATTGAATATGCACAATTGAATCTATCAATCTACACAGTAATGATACCGATCTGGATTTTGTTACCATCAACCATTGTCTATGTATTCATAAATCTGGTTAAACATGAATAATGAATGGTACATTATTTTTTTAGCGAGAAAAACTCAATCGATATTTTACGAACAAAATACAAATCAAAACGAAAATGAATGTTAAACAAATAAATAGAAAATTTAAACAAGACAAAAAAAAAACAACGAAATTTTTATTTGGTCATTTATTGTATCTGGCAACACTTGCTGCTATAAAACATGTGTGTTGTTGCAGTGGAATTTTTGTCAATTTTCAAAACAATCGGTTCGTTTGTTTGGTTGACATTTCGGTTTTGGAGGTAAAGTTGTTCGGATAACAAATCGAAATGAACTCAGAGACTGTGATCTAGTGTTACAATCAGTGCCATTGATCAGTGTCATTGATCAGTGCCATTCACAATGAATATCAATTGTTCGATTTGTGCAGAACTATTTCGCGGACCTGATGCAGACAATTTACATGTTACACGATGCGGTCACGTCTTTCACAACGAATGCTTGGCCAAGTGGCTCGAAAGGTATGCATTCGATGTTCAAAACATAGATTTATCTCATTGCATTTGATAATTTTTTTTTAAAGAAAAAATACATGCCCTGAGTGTCGCAGTAAGACCACAACGGCTACGGTATTTCGTTTATTTGTAAATATTGCCGATAGTTCGTATGCCGAGAATGACGAAGCTCCGAATGATTTAGTTGGATTACAAAATGAAAATGACAATTTAAAATTTCGGATTATTGAAAAAGATGGTGCGATCAAATCAAAAGAAGAAACGCTCAATCGACTGCAGAAAGAAAATAAAAAACTTACCACTGGACAAATTCAGTCGCGTTCTGTGATCGCTCATCTAGAGCAAAAAGTCGAACAAATAAATATACTCAATAACACACAACTCGATCAGGTTTGAAATGAGAACAACATTTGGCCAACATCTTCAATGTCTAATTTTAATGATTTATTTTAAAGATCAAAGCACTTAAGTCACGATTAAGTGAAATCGATCAATTGAAAGAGAAGCTAAAGCAGGCCAATGATAAGAATCGAACGGCAGAGTTGGTGCAACACTTGATCATGGGTTCTCAACAAGAAACTGAAGAACTACTAAGAGAAGGTCGAACGATAACGGAACTGGCCACAATGGTTACTACTTTGAAAAGAGAATTACGAAATTGTAATACCAAACGCGCTCAAGTACGATCTAATGCTGAGGAATTGGCCAAGCAATTGAAATTGTGCAAAGATGAAAAGTTGTAAGTACAAATTTATTTTTTTATATTCAAAGCTGTTATTGGTTATTAATTCATATAAGTTTTCAAGTGCCTCACCCGATAAATAAGTACCTATAACAGTTCTAATGTCTTCATTTTTCATATTTAATTGATTTTTTTTTTAATTTCTTTGAATTTTCTAGAAAATTGGAGGAAAAATGCTCGATTTTGGAAAGTAAAGTTTTTCAACTCGAAAGCAATAGTGAAAACAGAAATGATACAGTGGATCGGTTGAATGGCAGTGAATTGGTCAATGAGAATCAGTCACCAACTGAACAGCAGCCAGCTAAAAGGAAGTTTGGCGAACATCTTTCATCGTTTCCTAGAAAGGTGGTCAAACTTGAAACCAGCCGCACTGTGTCACCATCAATGTGTGTCAAAGCGAGTAGTATTGCAGGTCTATCACCACTTTTGAAAAGATCAAAATCGGCTGATTTACATAAGCTATCGCCAGCTGCAGATCAAAAAAGCGAAACATTCTCCATTATGAAAAAACCTCGACTCATTCAAAATCAAAGTAAAAAGTCTGAACTTCGACCAATGAGACCAAATAAAGTGCCAACGTTGTCGACAATTACCGATAATCAGTCACAGAGTGTTTTCAAACCGACGTCATCCAGTAGTCTAAGTAGTAAATTGTCAACTTTAGATAATCGATTTCGTTTGGGTTCATTTTCAAAGCAAAACTAATAATAAACCGCACCTAAATGTAAACAATTTTGATAACGTTAAATATTTAAATATCTAGTTTTAAAATGACGCAGTTTGTTTAATACAAACAAAATTAGAATACTATAGAACCGGCTGTTTGCTTTTTGTATATTTAAATTGTAATAATTGTACCTATATATTTCGATTGATATTTCAACATTAAAATATAACGAACAATGAATAAACGCTTGATTTATTAATTAATTACTTGAGGCATTTTAAATATTGGCACCGATGACGTTATGAACCAGTTTTTCGCAGTTCATTACTTTTGTTTAGTCGATATGATTTATTTGGCCTGAAAAACATCAATAAATAAATAAAAATCATGATGTTCATAGAAAGAAAGACCATCTCTATGACAACACACAATGAGAGATAATTATTATTATTTTCCATTCGATATTGATTTTATGCATATTATGTATAACTAAATTATCACTATGGTGAGCAATAATTGATTGATCGAAACTGAAGATAGCAAAAATATGCAAAATACATGAGTCGAAGTTGTCATGGAATTTCTTTATTTACTATTTTCACAAATAATCCAAATTCCGATACAAAAACCGTTAAATCACAATACAAGCACATCAAATTGAATAAAATTCTATTGTCGACTGAAAGCGTAACATATCGTATCGCAATTTTGAGTATAGTCACCCTTGAAGTTGAATATTTGTTTTGGGTAATAAATTTCGTATGTGGTTATTTGCATGAAAATCGATTTTATGTTATGAAATATTGTGTGCCACCCACACCGAATGACATGAATCAGTTTTGTTGTAACCATTTGCTTGGTGCATACCTAACTGTGTTTTTAGTATTTGTTTCATTGTAAATTGAACGAAGTTGTAATAGAATGTCATCAGCATCGTTAGTTGAAAAACGTTCGTTGAGAAAGTCTCAGTCCAGAAATATTGAGACGTCGTCCACATCCATAACATCAGCACCGACGACGTCCGAATCCAAATTGCACGATTCAAATCGCCGTTTAAAAGATAAATCCATGCGTTCAAAGCAACGCGATAGTTTGCCGGACATTGGCGTGAGGAAGGGTAATCGAAGTGTACGCGCGTCCAATTTTGAATTGAGCAGCAGCGCAAATGATTTCGAAAATAAAAATAACAATGACCGAGTTAGTAAGACGGGCACAAAATTAAAGACAATCACAGCAACTGTGAACAAATCGGCGAATGTAGAGACGGGTGATAAAGTTTTGGAGATGATTAAAATGGACTCAACTGAACAAGAGAATTACAAGTTTGTATTGATATGAATGGTGGTTGTTTTTGTTTCTTTAGCATAAATCATGGATGTGTTGAATTGCAGAAATCAAGCGGAGATCGAGTATAATGAGTTGAAAAAACGTGTTGAAGAATTACAAATGATCATCGAACAAGAGCGAAAGCATCCCACATCCGAATATGATGAGTCCATTGAAAAGCAACAACAATTCAATGAAACGCTGAGAGCTCAGGTAATTTTTCTCATTTTTTTATTATTTAAATTTGAAAATGAAAATTAAGCCATTTGGTAATTGTTAAGTACAGGTTGCTGAGGCAAAAGACAAACTTAAGAATCTATCACAATCGCTGAAGACATTGCGTTCGTGCCGTAAGGATTGTAACATTCATATGCGCGATTTAATCATTGATTATAATTGCATAACAAAGGTAAGTTAGCCCAATCAAATGACACAGTGTCATATTCGTATACAAATAATGTAATTTTCATTTATTTATCTTTTTTCATGTAAAACCATTGAGTTAGAGTGAGCTGTCGAAAGAGCTGAAACGCTTTCAACGCATGGAAATCGATCTGAAAAATAATTTGGATCGTTTACATTGGCGAATGGATTGCGAATCAAAGATGTACCACAATCTTATTGATCAATACCATAAGCTACAAATGGATTTGTATTATTTGAAAAATTTAACCGAAAGTTCATAAAATTGAAATTCATAATATGTTTGGTTGGTGATGAACGATACAGTTCTATTTAGATTTAAACTAGAAAATGTGTTATCAATCGATCCCTTTGTGGTGTTCTATGTTGCACATATACTAGATGATAACAAAAGAACTTTTTTTTTCAATTTAAAATGTAATGAAGCTCATCTCGAATGGAATAAAATTCGGTTCAATTTTTCCTCCTTAAAAAGCTCTAGTTTAATTTTAACAGGTATATTTCATTATATTTAAAAATTTATATATTTTTCAAAGCAAAAGAAACGCTTTTCACACTCACATTCAACACTATTGAAACTAGTTCAGAATCAACAAGAATCACCGATTTGCTATTTCGTCAGCAAATATTCACATGTACGGACAGTCACAGGGCTAAATATTTATTGTATATAATGATATTTCTTTTACAGGCAAATGTAAAAACGTAAAAAACAGGTAATTACGTTCCAATTAAATGAAAAAATCGAACAACAACACACTTTGCGGAATAAAGTCATCGCATGGTTAAAATAGCCCAACTTCAATTCTATTCATTGGAATTGTTATAAAATTTATTCAAATTGTCGATCCATATATTCAAATTTAACTTGGATTCAATAATTTGCAATAAAAAACATTGAACTACGATTTGCTTAGCATTTTGCATCGACAAAAAAATATTTGCATTTCATCGTGCCTATTGTCATTTTTCTTTTCACTACATTCAATTTGTTCATTTTTTGCATTGTGCAACAATATTTGTTTTTAATGCATATGAGGCGTTTGGGTAACTCAATTCATCTTTTATTGCATTCGAATGCGATCTTCAAACCATTCGGTTATCGGCTACACATCATTTCGGTTCGACATATCGGAACGTTAATTTGATATCTAAAGAAAAACACTTATTTCCGTATTTTGTTAAGTTTGTTATCATTAGTGTATATGTGTATGCGTGAGTTTAATTTCACATAAAAAAAATAAAATAAAATAAAAAATAATGGATGTGATGGAGAATTTTAAATTGTTCACATATCTAGCACGAATTGGTGTTTGTTTTTTGGGATGTTCTTTCATATATTATGCGTATCGATATTGGATATCTGGCCTACGCTACACAAAGAACGCTGAATCACCAGATAAAGTAGTCATTGTTACTGGTGCCAGCAAAGGTATTGGAAAAGATGTAGCGTATGGTTTGGCCAAACGTGGACTGACGGTCATAATGGCGTGCCGGGATATGAAACATGGTTTACGTGCAAAAAATGATATTATTGAGAAAACTGGCAATCCAAATGTTAAGTGTATGCACTTGGACTTAGGTTCATTCAAGTCGATACGCTATTTTGCTACCGAGTTTCTAAACAGTGGTTCACGCCTCGATATTTTAATAAATAATGCGAATGTTTTACAATTGAAACGGAAATTGACACATGATGGTATTGAACAAAGTATTGGCATTAATTATTTTGGACATTTTCTACTGACAATGCTTCTAATTGAACGAATGTCACAGACGACACCAACGCGTATAATAAATATATCAAATTGGGTGCATCGATGCGTCGAAATTGATGAAATGGACCTGATGAATGAGAGACAATATTGCGGTTTTATGGCATATGCTCGAAGTGCACTTGCTAATGTTTATTTCACACTTGCGCTCACCGAACGAATCGAGAACACTGGCATCACCTGCAACTGTGTTCATCCAGGCATTTCGTTGGCCAATTTTATAGAAAAACAAGAATTTTCCAAAAATTGGATACTACCAAAGTAAGTTTAAACATAATTGACGGACTCCGAACGTTTGAATGAATCATATGAATCAAATTCCCTCTTTTCATCAGGCAAGTGTTGACATTTTTGGCCAAAATTCTTTGTAAATCGAATCGAGCGTGTGCCGACACAATTATTTTTGCCGCAATTGATTTCAGTGTGCAGAACATTAGTGGCATTTATCTATCGTAAGTTTTATTTTAAGTAAAGTTCTATTTTGAATTGTCGATATTAATAAATCACCAATCATTTCGAATGATTGTCATTGAAAAAGAAATGCGGAAATCGGACACATCGGAGCCAATTCGGATAATCGCAAAATTGCAGAATGGCTGTGGAATAAAAGTGCAGACATCACCGGTGAAAGGTTATGCGATTTACCGAATAATTTCAAATTTTTGAAAAATTCATCTCACACCGAATCGTTAGCTGTTATGGATAAAAAACAATAATGTTTTACACATTTAGTCTTGATCTGACAACAAAATTCAACGATACTTGATATTCAATTGCATTGTATTTAAATTTTTTACGTTCTGAAATAAAAGGAAATGATATCAAAAAATAGAGATGCAATTTTATTGTTTTGAAAACAAAATCAAAAATACTTCAAATAATTGGCCATGTGGGAGTAACAAAAAAAAATCGGCTTATCTGGTGTATTAATTGTGCAACATGAATCGCATTCACACCAAAGGTTTCATGAAATGTCATTGATAAACCTAACAAATGTAACAAGTGAAGGATAGAACTTTTTTCAAATCAATTATAAATATTGTGTGCGACAAAGATCACTTTGATTGTGTAAGCTGTCAAATGTGTCATTTTGGGCGAGATTTTATTGTGAAGAGAAGAATTTTGAAATGAACACTTTCACCGATGATGAGGTAAATTATTCCGTTGTATTAATTATGTATTTGTGGAATCAACCAGAACTGAAGTATGTTTTTCGTTTAGCTCCAATCAGCGGTGACTGAATTGGAAGCTATTGCATTTGAAAATCAGCGAAATATTGAAGGAATTGCCTTACTGAAAAAACGATTTGAACAACAAATCGGACAACGAAATGAAAAATCGATGCCGACATTTCCATTGAAGATAAAGTGCTGTGGTGGTTGTGGTTTTTCAACAACATTGGATGTCAAATCATCGGATACAATCAAGGATGTCAAGTTTGGAATATGGAATAAAACCGGTATTCAACCTCATCAACAACGTGTCATTTTCAATGAACTGCAACTCGAAGAGGATCGTACGTTGAATGACTACAATATTCAAAATGGAACCAATTTAACCATGGTAATTCATCTTCTTGGCTACAATACACACTCAGCAAATGGATTCGATATCAAATTGGCATACCAACAACTTTCCCAGGTAAATTATCGATTTTCATGCATGGCATTGATATTGTTCTAATTATGATATGTTTGTGTTTCAGCTGAATTTCGATTTAAATGAACTATCTGCAATTACATTCAAAATTCAGGCAAATATCAGTGGCATTGAAGGGTTAAAAAAGCGCATAGAGGATGAAATCAATGCCATTGAAATGAAAATTGAGCTGCAAAACAATTCGATAACACCAACGTCCCCGATCATTGATGAAAAACGCAAAAATTGTTGTAGCGGTATGAAGTTGTAATTTTAAGCAATACATTTTTCATGTACATTACATTCCGTATTAATAAAATCATAAATACTTCCTCCCCATGTTGAACTTGTAAACATTTAAATGTCAAATTTAATCAATTACTGTCAACGATCAGTTAACTGTCAAGTAAGTATTCTTTTTAGGTATTCTTTTTATCGCTCAAGTGTGGCTGCCATATAAGAATATCAAATAAAATTACTTATCACTCTTTGAACAATACAATAATCTATTACTTATTCAAAAAGTAAAATTTTTACATCAAAAAAAAATCGTTGGTAAAATGTCGTACAAAAAAATTGGCGAGGTAAATTGTTATTGATTTTTTTTTTTTTATTCAATTATTTTGTTTTTACGTGGATTTTATCCAAATCAGACATGCTATGATATTTTTTGCGTTTCAGTTGTATTTAGCATTGGCTGAACTGGAAGATAACACGGGTTTGTTCACATTTGAACGCAATGCCAAAGCAATTGATGCATTGAAAAAGCAAATTAAATCGGAAATTACATCCTTGCAAACCAAAACCAAGTGTGCGAGTGATTCACAGGTGTTTGTCAAAACATTGACTGGGGAAAATTTGACAATCAAATGCTGTAATGGGATAGGAATTGGTCTTGAAATGGAATCCGTACTGTCCGATACAATCGAAATTCTGAAACAAAAATTTTTCGAAAAAGAGGGTGCTCCAGTCGATGATCAACGTTTAGTTTATGAGGGAAGGCAACTCGAAGATGGCACAACTTTGAATGACTACGGTATTCAAAACGATAGCACCATATATTTGATTAATCGCCTCCGTGGTTGTTAAATTTTCGTCAATTACAACATTCATTGAAATCGTATTGTTTGATAATTGAAACATAAATAAACTCCCAAATCAAATTTTTTCAAAAGATACACTCTTTGTTGATATTTCTCTCTCGTTAATTTCGATTTTTCAGCTTCTATTCTTCTAATTTGTTATTTGTTCCATCCAAGCATCAACTTCTCATTTTTTGGGGACAGTGGTTTCAATGTTGCTCATCATTGATGCTACATTATTCAAATCGGAAACGCATTGCATATGGCATATATTCTTCTGAAACGACGTGATTTTTTTTGCATCGATTCAAATAATTTCAAATTGAATTGAATTGAATTGAATTGTTTATCAACTGAAAAATACAATATTATTTTTTTAGATTCTTTTTCATTTTCAAAAACTTCAATTCTTATTCGAAGTGCGTGAATTATATGAAACTTAACTGATCTTCCCAAAAAAGATGAAGCAAGAACATCGCCGATTCCTTTAAATCAAAATGTCAAAGTCGATGTGATGATTCAACTGTCAAACTTGATTCAAACTTGACTAAAGCAATGGTGGTCATTTCACAACTGTGATTGAAATATCAAACACAACATCGAACTGAAATTGAATACTAAGATTTTTACTGATTTTTTCTCCAAAGGAACCAGAACAAGCACAAAAATGTCGTACAAGAAAATTGGCGAGGTAAATTATTGTATCAGACTCATTTGTAATCCAAATCAGACAATTTAATGATGATGTGTTTTGCGTTTCAGTTGTATTTGGCATTGGCTGAACTGGAAGATACGTGCGCCGAAGGTAATGGTGAACTTTTGCGCCGCAGTGAACGTATACGTGAACTTAAAGTGAAAGCAATAAAACAGCAAATTGGTGATTTGAAACAGCAACTTAAATCGGATATATCGAAATTGCCAACCAATTGTCAGGTGTTTGTCAAAACATTGACTGGGAGAACTTTGACAATCCAATGCTGTAATGGTCTTGGCATGGCCATTGAAGTCAACCACAATCCATCCGATACAGTCGAAATGCTGAAAATAAAGATTTTTTTACAAGAAGGTGCTCCGGTCTCTGAACAACGTTTGCTTTTTGCGGGAAAGCAACTCGAAGATGGCAGGACAATGGATCAGTACGGTATTAAAGACAATAGTACTGTGCATATGATTCTTCGCCTCCGTGGATGTTAAATTTTCAATCGGTTCATCAATTACAACACTTATTTCAATCATATTGTTTGTTAATTGAAACATTAATAAACTCCAAGTCATATTTTCCCAAAGGATAGACATTTTGTTGTTATTTTCTTATATAAGACTTTTGTTGAGGCCAACTGTCAAATTCGGTGTGGTGACTAGGACAATTCATTCCATTTCAAAGTGTAGTTCAGGGAGGTCAAACAAAATGACAAACATTCTTTTATTCACTTTATTCATTTAAATAGTAAAATTATTACCAGGAAAAGGTAAGCATGACTATTAAATTATGACACAAGGAGACTGACGGGGTAATGTAATGTTTAATTATTTTATTGGATACATATAATTTCTTTTGTGTGGATTTAAATACATTTTTATGATGTGTTTGACGTTCCAGTGGAATTTTGCGTCGGCAGAAATGGACGATAACTCTGCTATCAGGCGTAATGCCAAAGTCATGGAATGGAAAAAGGAAATCGAATCCAAACTTGCTTTGCAAACCAGAGACAACCATATGGATGACATAGAAGGTCATGTTAATCTGAATAAAAAAATTGCTGTCACGGTTTGTTTATTGAAATGGAACACCAGATTTAGTACGTTCGAAAGTACGCACAAGGCGTTCCATTCCAGGATCAATATTCAAATTTTGCAGGAAAATTCTGACTGTTCATTTGAAAGAGACATGCTATTTGGTTCTACGTTTTGTCTCTTCAACGTAATGCTGCAAATGTATTTTTATGTCAGACATAAATTGGTCTGAAACTAGTGCCAAAATTCTGAAGAAAGATAATAATATCTTAAAAAGTATTGTATAGAATCGTTTGAATAAGAATTCATTCTAATATTTTAATATCTACATACAGAAGCCCATAAGTGTGATAAGTACCGAGCTAATGCTTTGCGGTTTGCCGGACGGTTGGTCCGAACATTTTGATGCGTATTAACATATTTTACACTCATATTCTTATTGGCTTGTTTTATTGTATTGCCGAGAGTTTTTTTATTTATGAGAGTTTGTTATCTCCTACTTAAAAACGACTTTTTCACATTTCACGTTAAGTAAAAAAAAAACTATCGAAGCACTTATAGGGCTGGGTGCTCTTCTTCTCTTAAATGGTTAATGTAATGTGCGTTTGTATGGATTGACACAAACGCAAGCCGCGAGCACTTCTCTGTGTAATTTAATTAGTCTCCGAACATTAATTACGTTGAAACAAGAAATTCATAGAACAAGGCCAAACTTCATACGGTCACATTTTACCGTGTCTATTTTCAATTTGAAATAACCACAACCAAAAGTGAAGACGACAAATACGAATGGACAAAATACGAAAAACAACGAAATCGTGAAAAAAAAAAGATTAATATAAAATCAAAAATGATAGTGTAGTCGGTTCAGTATTTATAGAACTTATCACGTTCAAACATCTAAAAAAAAAGACCAAGAAATAAATAGTATAGGGAGAGAGAGTCAAAGATTCATCCACAAAAAGAAACAAAAATAACAGTTTCTTGACGTGAAGTAATTAGTGCAGATTTTTCTGTTTAAATTAATGATCAAAAGTGACACCACACTACAGAATATTCAGTTACAATCATTATTGTGGGCATACTTTATCAAATGAATGCTTATCGGTGAAATACTTTGTACTGTGAATGATGTATCGCTAGTCGCTACAAGACCTCTAAGTTGTCATTATCTGTATAAGTGTGTTTGCACAAAACAGTCTGTGTTTTGATGACGATGTTTTTATGTTCATTGATAAGATCAGATTTGCAATTTTTCGATTTTTAGTCTGTTTCTTAGTCAATGCGAAGTTTAATTGTGCCATAATTATTGGCAGCTTAGGATGCAGTACGCAGTGGCGTGAACTAAAAAGTGTCAATTGATTCGTGTGTGTTTCATTCTCAAAAAAAAAAAAAACAATCGTTCACAATGGAAGAATTAAATAAGTTGGTGAAAGAGTATAATCAAAAGAATATGCAAAAAGAGCTGGATCGTCCATTTACATACATTCAAAATTTACCGAGCAAAAATATACGATCAAAGATGACCGTTGCCTTCAACCATTGGATGAATATACCGCCGGAAAAGTTAAATGAAATCGGTGAAATAATGCAAATGTTGCATAATGCAAGCCTAATGATCGACGACATTGAAGACAACTCTTGCTTACGTAGAGGTGTTCCTGTTACTCATTCAATTTATGGCATTGCAAACACATTGAACACCGCAAACTATATAATGTTTCTAACACTCGAACGATGCCAAAAACTTGGCCATCCAGACGCTGTCAAGGTGTACACGGAACAAATGCTCGAATTGCATCGTGGCCAGGGCATGGAAATTTATTGGCGCGAAAATTTAATATGTCCCACCGAATCGGAATATCAACTCATGACAATACGAAAAACGGGCGGTCTATTTATGCTTGGCATTGGTTTAATGCAATTGTTCAGTGAAAATAAGGAAAATTTCCGAAAGTTAACGGCCATTATTGGGCTATTTTTTCAAATTCGTGACGATTACATCAATTTAACAAACAAAGAATATTCAGCGAAAAAAAGCTTTTGTGAAGATTTAACCGAAGGAAAATTTAGCTTCCCAATTTTATATGCGCTGAATAACAAGAAAAATGATCGAGAAATTTTTAACATATTGAAACAACGCACCGATAACATTGAATTAAAAAAATATTGTGTACAATTGTTAGATGAAGCAGGAAGTTTTGAATATACTCGAAATACTTTGAAAAAATTATTCGAAGAAGCACGAACCGAAATTACAAATCTTGGCACAAATGAATACATGGATAGATTGTTGCACGAACTAAGCAAATACTAAGCGTTGAAGTTATGTATTTGTATTGATTATGTGTCATTTTGATCACATGAAATATAAACATTTATCAACTTGAAATCAAAGCAACGGTTTTTTCAATACTTTATACTGATTAGATAATATTATTAATAGAACATATGTGTCCGTAAGAATAAATATGGCAATACAAAAACGGAATCATTACATAATTTTTTTTACATAGTATACAACTCCATACAAAAAAAAA